GTCAGAATCGTATATTATGTAGAGAATCATTGATAAAGGGTCCCCCTGCCCTATGCCATTCCGGATAGGGATCCAGTCGGAAAGATGCCCGTCGAATTTGAGCTGGGTACGTCGGCCTGTAAGTAAACGTTCAGTGAATCCTACCAGTGACTCTGGTAGGCGCCGGCATCTCATATTGTGCAGCAGACGGTCAGTGACTGCATTGGGGAAGGCACCCTCAATGTCTAAAAACAAGGCTGAAACTACTTTCCCTTGACGCCAAGCGTCCTTGATAGTTGATTCAAGGAGATGTAGTGAATCTGTTGTAGATCTTCCAGGGCGTCCTCCGAAGTGGGTGTCGGGGAGTAGGTTGTGATGTTCGAGGAGATACGTCATCTGGTCGGCCACTACCGCTGTCAAGAGCTTGCACATTGTGTTGAGGAGAGCAATTGGACGGTATGCTTTTGTTGCCGTGTAATCTGGTTTGCCAGGCTTTCGCAGAACAACTGTGGTGAAATCGCGCCAAGGAGAGTAGTACGTTTTGAGTGTGAAAATGGCGCTAAAAAGATGAATCAGAAACGGTTTGAGTAATGTGGCGCACCGAGTGAATACAACATTGCATATCCCGTCCGGACCGGGGGCCTTATAAGGGCTCAGCTTTGCAATGCTCCGTGATAGCTGTGGATCAGTGATGGGGGCTGGAGTTTCCACTGGAGTAGGGTAGATAGCGTCCTCTGGGACCGATGACGTGGCCGGGGGTGGTGGGAAAAAGGTTTGCGCTAGGGCCGCACTTTTTTCCTCGTTGGTGTCAGCAAGGGTACCGTCGGGACGTCTCAGTGTTGGTATTCTTGATAGGCCCCCGTCGCCTGCCGCAGCTGTAAGGTAATTGTTAGCTATCCATATGTCGTTACCGTTGATCTTTTCAAGCCAGTTGACCCAATGCTCCTTCTTTGTCCACTTGATCTCCTCTGAATATTGATTTCGCTTAGTACGGTATTCCTCATGGCAAGTGTGGTCAGTGTCATCTCGTAGCTTATAGGAGCGGTGACTTAGTTTCGCGACCTCACGCCATAGGATGGTCAAATCCTTCGTCCACCAGCGTTTGGAATGGGGATTGGGCTTTGACTTCGGTACCTTCTGCTCTACTGTACGCTGGATTGCGTTCGTGAGGTTCCGCGCTGCTTGTTGAAATTCTTCGTCAGTAACTAGTGGTTGAGCAGAGGGAATCTTGTCCAATTCAACAGCGAGGACAACGTTGAACTCATCCCAGTCCGTCTCTCGATAGTTGTGCTTTTCTTCTGTCGTGGCTCTGGGAATTTCGAGGTCCAAGGTGCTAAGAATGGGAAGGTGGTCAGTGGCCGGTCCGCGCAGAGCTGGATTGGTTGAACAGCTGATGAAGGAGTCACTGGTATGGTCAGTACAGAATACATTATCGGGGCGCGTCCAATTTTTTGAACTTGAGGATTGGAGTGTGGGAAGTCCCTTTGGCAGGGCCATGACCATTCCGTAGTCCGCCAGTAGGTCGAGTAGGGGTTGGGCTGCGTTAAGATAGTGGTTAGTGAATAGCTGCGTATTACGGTCTTCATCCCACAGAGGATGGTGTCGATTGAAATCACCCAACCAAATCATGTGGTCGTCGGCAGAGGGGCGGATGTTGGCCATCTCGCGTTCTAGGAAGGATGCTAGGGATTCTTGAGTTCTCGTTAGTATACAGTCATTATAAATATTGAAAATAGTGCAGCGTCCGAACAGGCCACGGAGTTGAATTACCATGACATCCGGCGAGGGGAAGGCGATTTGCTGCCAGGAGTTGGTGTCAAAGGACTTGGATATGAGTGTGACGGCGCGCGATGTGAGTTCAGGTGCAGAGAAGCAGGTGGTTGGGTATACAGCGTGGAAGTAAGGAGAGGAGATGGTGTTTTTCATGGAGTTGATATGAGGTTCTTGGAGTGCAATGACATCCCAATTTCGGGCAATCGGGCTGTTAAGGAGGGAGTGCTGCGCCAGGAGTGAGGTATTGAGGTTTTGTTGCCAGACACGTATTCGAATCGGTGCTTCTTCATAGTGTTCAGACATTGAGAGGAGAGGGGGGCCGTGGTGTTGCGTAAATTGAGGACGAGGTGAGTGGGGAGTCCAGGATAGGTGAGAGTGCCGTAGTTGGGGGGACTTGCGATTGTTGGTCTCTGCTGGGACTCATATCAGGGTTCCACGTGCCGGCAATGGGGATTGAGTTCGGGCCTGTGGGGGTGAAGGCACGGGATCCTCGTTGACCATAATGACGAGGTGCTCCTCGTGAGTGGTAACCTCTGGTTGGACGTCTTGATTCATAAGGGAGGCTCGTTTGAAAGAGGGATGGACGAGTAGGGGCAGAGGCTGGTACTGGTGCTACTGCCGGTTTGCGGTAAGGGGCCGGTTGAGAGGGTAGCATGACCTGCGTCCATGGATCGTCAGTGGGGAAGTATGGCATGGAATTTTCAGGGTGCTTAGCATCTATCCCAGCACATTTGGACTCGAACTCTGGGCATTTCCTATCCCAACTAGCATGCTCCGGGGAGTTGCAACTAACGCAGTGGAAAGTGCGGTATGCGTTGCACTCATTGGTGCGATGGTTTTTCCCGCAGGTTCCGCATACGTCCTTCGGTGCTTTGCAATCCTTTGCGATGTGCCCCCACAGCTGGCATCTCACACACCGTACCGGTTCCCGTTTGTCCTTTCGGGGGTGTAGTTTCTCTTGACCGATGTAGATACCATCCCGGAGGGTGCTGTTGGCTGAGTGTGGGTCTGCGAAGTGGAAGATTGCATGGGCGACACGCTGTGTTGGGGCCCGGCGTTGACGAGGTTTGATCCAGTTGGCTGAATCGATTGCGCCCGCTGTCATGTTATTTTCCTCTTCCACCGTACGTAACCATGCCGTGTCTTCAACGTTAGATGCGATGGGTAGGAATGGAACTATTACAGAGAAACGTTGTTCCTTGATGGTCGCTGGAAGGTCAAGGGCGTTGGTGATTTTCAGCCTATTCTCTGGAGTTCTGATCCATTTGGCCGCCTCTGTAGTAGTTAGTTCCGTTATAAACCCACCGTTACGAAGGCGGGTGATTGCTTTGATTTGAATATCTGGAGTGTCGTCCGACTGGGATGCCGTGAACGCTTGTTTCATTTTGGTTGCGATCTCGGCCGACGTTACTTCGGTTGCGAATAGGACGCTGCCTGGCACCGGGTCAAATAGGATTTGACGGTCCCTCATAGCTGCACGGGCGAGGGCTGCCGAGATTGGGGCTGGGGTCTGTGTGTTCTGTTGAACCACGGCGCTGTATGATCTTGGTGTCCCTGGTTTGGCTGATTGGCTCGCGTTGTCGACGATATCCTTGATGTCTTTCGAGTTTTCTTCTAGAGTTGTTTTGAATTTGGTGATTTCGTCGACGTTCGTCTTGAGATTTTCCGAGGCAGTGAGGATGGACGCTACTTGAGGTGAAATAGCCGCCACGACATGTGCTGAAAGTGAGGAGGTGAGGTTTGCTATGACATGGGCTGAGAGCGAGGTTGAAAGCGAGTCCGTTATTTGCTGGATGTTGAGCTCTGTCGCGGTTGTGGGAGTGTTGCTGGTGCTGTCCTCTAGAAGCAGTGCAACAGCTCGAAGGCCTTCTATCACTATGCGGGGAATTCCTGTATATTGTGTGATGTGGAGGATTGTCAGTATTAGGCTTTCGTTCGTTATGGGTTCTCCAGTCCCGTAGAAGGGAGACTTCTCTAGGAAGGCAGCACCGCTTTCTCTATCTTTGACATTGTATTCCTGCTGCATAATTTCGTCTCTTGGAAGCAACAGAGAGACTGTATTACGATGAGAAGCCCTGATTCTATTGGTGGGAGTGGGGGCGCGGATGTTTGTACTACCGGTCCCCACAGGCGTTGATCGCGTTTTCCCGGTTGCCATTGGCTCTGGATTCAACAGTGCGGACCGTTGGGCCTAGCCTGGCGGGTATTAAAGTAGTAAGCTAAGAGGGTTTTAGGCGTTGATGACGCCTGGGGCGCTGTTGGGCGCAGTGCTGGGATCCGAAGTTTCGGGGTCCTAGTCGGGGTGCCACTTGGTAATAGGCCAAGAGGCGATTGCTGCTGCATGGTTATTTACAAGTGTGGTTGTATTATCAGAGTGAAAAAAAGTTAATTTGATTGAAAAAATCATTTTTTTTGATGTTGCCAAAGTGATTTTTGAAGCAAATAGTGGTTTTGAATTTTTGAGCTTTGAGATTTGGCCATGGGAATGGTCACGTGATCACATGAGCACAGTGGTTGAATCTAAATGTCATCTACCTTACTATGGGTCTCTGACACTAGATCAACACAAGGTAAGAGACTTTGGTGCCTGGTGCTTCTAACTGTATTAACTACCTATTTCATGCTGCTATCACCATTCCTCTTGTTACCCCACTTTCATAATAGCACTGTAGAATACCTACCATGTGTACTACTATCAATAATATCATAATTGACATGAATAGAGCATATTCTGAAAGGCCAGGAAACATGTGTGCTAATATGCACAGATATATTTTAATTATGTTAGCATGAAAAAAACATACAAGGACATTGCACAGACTGCCCCATCTCTGTACATTATTCTCATTCTTGTGCACTACATGTTCTGAGGCTCTTGTATATGTTTTTCTCTCTGATATAAAAAAATAACATACTGCAACATCCCCGGTCCTCTTCAGTAAGGTCCAGTTTTCACTGGGGGTCAAGCCCTAGAGACACATTTCTCAGCCTTTTCATAACAACTCACTCAAGGATCAACCATAAAAGCAACAGGCATTAGATCCTTAAAACTGTGCTCGTATAATAGCCATATATGTTGCTTATGTGCACCTCATAAGCATAGGTTTCATTACCTGAAAACCCTTAACATCAGCTTTGTTGCTTGATTGACCCTTTTGTTTGTTGTGCTCACTAGTGCTGCCGAAGTCCAGTTCAGTCCGGTTCTTGGGCCAAATTTTCCGAATGCCAAACTGAACCATAGGTTCGGTTTAGCTGTTTGGTCGAACCCTGGACCAAATGTCACTGAATGCGTTCAGGAGGTCCAGTTCACGTTCGAACCGGGTTTGACCAAAGCTTGCAGATGATGGGCTGGAGCTCTACCATGAATGCCATGCGCAAATGCCCAGTGCATGTCAGCAACTGCTGATATGGCTCAGACGAGTGCGGACAACAGACAAGGGTAGGAGGAGGGAAGAAGATGAGGAGATCTTGCAAAGGGTAAGTGGGCATTGGGAACATGGCAGCATTGGGATGGTGCTCTAGGGGACTTGATCCAATTCTGTTGCTGAGATGTCAGCAGACACGAGAGTGTGACGATCGAATTAGGGATCTACAAAGTGCCAAGTTCCCCATCATGCACCATATGCCATTGAGTTCCGTGTTCTTGCTGTGCCCACCAACTTCGCGCCAGACACTATTGAGCTCTCCTTCTTTGTCAAGGCCCCAGATAGGATACAATTTATCATGCAGTGACTCTGGAAGCAGAGCATGATAGGCATGACGTGCATCAGTGTAACTGATAATGTGAGTCACAATGTCTATTGGTCAGTAAGAAGAACGAACCCAGTAGCGAAGACCACTACGTCCACATCAAGAGTATAACCATCTTCAAAAGTAAGCCTGTCTGGGTAAAGTGCAAGATTGGCCCGTCACTCTTAAGCTTAATCTTCCCGTCGATGATCATTTGGGAAGCTCCAACATCTGGATATAAACATCAGCACAGACATGCTCCAATCCATAAATGGACCAACCGAGATAGTATCCTCCTCCCTTATTCCATGCCATAAATAGAAAGCCAGAGTCGTCATCACCCAAAGTTGTCTTGAAGCCTCGTTTTCACAGGCCATAAGAATCTCCCTGAATCCCTCCTCTATCAGGCAACCGGAATATGATATGTAATCATGTACTTATTGGCATCAGCAATGTCTTTAGTGACACGTTGATGTATTAATTTGAGCAATGAATTGGGGTAGGATGCATTCACGCAATCCGCAACATCAGTAGGAGGGCTGCTGTCACAACCCAATAACGAATTAACGCTGGGCAGAGACTAGGACTCAAACAAAGAATAATCACACAGAGGAGGTAGGCAGCAGGTACGTCTTGGTATTGCTCACTTGGAGATACAAGAGGTTTGAACTAAAGAACTACTGACTACGATGAGCCACCTATATACACATATTGAAACTGAGATTGAAACTGAGTATGAACTAACTAACCAATTGGAATAATTAAAGGTATCGTACGATTCTATATATAACTATGATGTCATAACATGTGTCGCAACCGCAGTAAGACTCTGGAACATTCCAAGAGTGTCGCGAGTCATGACGTCAACATCTTTGGTATTGTCCGATAGATCACGTGACTCTGGTAATTCTACAATAGACACAATAATAGGAACTTCTTCAACGGTAAACATATTCTTAGGAGCAGGCGCTGTGACTGGGCGCTTAAAGGACTTAGAATTAAGGAACAAATAATGGTTTGTATTTGGAACTCGTGACAGCTGCCCTCCCAGAAGATTGCTGGGTGCATTTATAATAGCAAAATTGTAAAATAACAAATGGCTCACCCATTAACCTCAGCATACCCTCCTTGTGGACATGATGTAGCTCAGGCTACGTTGAACCATGGTTACATCTGCACCAATTTTAGGTGCTGACAGATGGTGGTTTTGGTGGGGTTCGAATGTGTCCGAACTGGTTCTGGTTAGCTCCGAACCCCGAACTGGACTTAAGGTTCAGTCCAGGGGCCATGCCAGACCTGTGACCGGACCTTGAGTCTGGTTCGGAAAGGTTCAGGTTCGAACCGAGGTTCAGAACCAAACTGCGGCAGCACTAGTGCCCACTCTCATATAGTAGGAAAGCTGTGTTGTTTGTCCCTGTTGTACAGGGAGCGTAGTAGGCGTGAGAAACGGTGTTCAATGGTATTCCTGACCAGCGCAAGCTGGACAATATGCACCCCTCAAAACAAACTTTATTGGTTATTTGTGCCATGCCAATTCTCTTTTTCTTGTACACTATTCCCCAGGACTGCCATTTATACAGCAGAGTGTCTCCACAGGTTCTGTTTTTCTTGTGATGTGCAAATATGGAAATTCTTTCTTTCCAAACGCGCGCAACTGTGCTATGTTGGGCCGACAATTGGTTTACTACCGACACGCACAAATCAATCTTTTCAGTCTGACTTCCATGTGTTTCTTAACATGGCCAGGTATTTTTCAAAAATTCATAACAGGTTTTCATGACCTTTCCATTACCTGTTTTACTGATGGTCGTGCTGCAGCTTCCTCGTGGCTATATCTAATGTGGTCCAACTGACTTACCATACTCCAGTTGTATCTTGCTGGCAGTTCTTTCAAACTTGCTTTTGTAAGCATTCAACATCAGTACCACGATCGCCTCCAGTTCAGCAGTGCAGCCGTCATGAATGATTTCTTCTTCCTCACTTACAAATCCAGCGCATCACTGCTCTTTGCCGCAGTTCCAACTGTTAACCTCTCTCTCCCTCGAAGCTGAAGTGTGTTTTCACTCTAGCATCCGATCATTCATTGTAACGATTTCCAGGGCATCATGATCGGATGTAGTTAGTATCCATTATCGGCCTCCGACAGCTTGTTTGCATCCGTACTGTCGTATCCTGTCCCATGGAGCTGGATCTTGAAGGACTTGTCCTAAGTCCATGGGAGGGTTCAAAATTTTATCGCTTTGCTCGTGTCGTTCATGTGCCTGGTGATATTGAAGCACCTGATGTATAGGTGAGCGTTATATTCCACCTCAGTTTATGTTTTCCATTCATATTTCTTGTCTTTTGGTGACGAAGGCCCTAAGTACATAGCTTCAATCTCTCTCTCGAATCTCAACACCAAACAAAGAAAACACCAATTTGAAGCCGAGGAAGAAGGGTATGTCAATGTAGACTCGATTCATTGAAGGACGGACAATAAGTCATAGGTCGTACTTGTCGATGAGCGAAGGTTCAAATCATATGCAGGATGTATCACGTATCATTATCGTGTGATTCGGACAGAGAGGTTAGCATGTTTTCCATGTCGTGGCTTACCTGAGGTGAGCTGATGGCACCGCATCACTGACGATTTCGTAGACTATCATCGACCCCCGTTTTAAAACGATTTCCCTCTCGTACTACCATCGGACAGCTTCCTTCCTGTAACCTTATCATAGGCCGTGAGGTGGTGGTTTATGGACCAGGCCGAACGAGGTATAGTTTTTGGGTATGACAATGCGCTATGAGTGTTACCCATGATATGATTCACCAGAACGCGCTCGTCTTGAATGCACACGATTGCTCATGAGCTCGAAGACATGCAGATATGAAGTACCGCCTCCAATTACATCATTGTCGATGTGTCAACTTGGGGGCTCGATTGCTGGTATGTAGCACTTCGATATCGTCATAACACTGATGTAGCAACATCAAAGCACCGTAAAATGGTAGTCCTGTGCCGTGGAGCGTTGCCAATCTGGACAACTGCGGCCACGGAATCAGGCCCCCGGGCAGAAGCGCATATGGCAACAGAATACTCTGAACAGCATCACATCTAGGGCGTCTATTAATATCGCGAAGCAGATGATAACGGCGAGTACAACACCTTTGCAGCTTATCGTGACAACCCGCAGACCCTCGACCGTGTCCAGCATCACTGCGACCTCTCGAATGGCAGGGGACCCGTGGTTCCGATTACCACTTTGAGTAGAGTGTTTGGATTCAGGCAGGGAGGCTTGTTACCAAGGCTGCTACACGGATGTTCGGAGTCTCGATTTGCTGCCAGTGTTGCACATGTAGCAACATAGATTTACTAATATATCGGGGAGTGTTGCTCCACGACACCTTGCGCCTTGACATGAACCCAGAAAATCGCAAACGTTCACTTTCTTCACTCGATGTGCCCAACGAACGGTCTAGTATAAATAGTAAAACTTTGTTACAAACGCAAGTATATTACATAAAAAATGCATAAAAACTATCTCCCCAAAAAATTCCTCAACCCTAACTCTGCGAAATAGCCTTGATCATCTCCGAACCAATTGCGCTCGCCTCCTCAAACCTACTCTCAAAGAATGACGCGGTCTCCAAGAACCGGCGTTTATATAACTCGAGGCTCCCAAATGATACACACTGGCTCCACCCACGTGCGGCGATAACGAATTCGAGATCGTCCGAGCGGTGGGTGACGTCGTACACAGCTGAGCGAACAGCAGAGTCCAGCCGATTCGGCGAACGAAAGAGGTACTCTGCGACACCGATCCACATTCTGAATATGGGAGTTGCTGCGAGGTCGAGGTGGTCGAACGGCTGAATTTTGAGGTGGGCCCAGCAGTCGACCATGGCAAGGAGTGCGAGGTGGGAGTTTGATGGGGGTGCAGACGAGGTTGTTGGACTGCCGTTAAGCTTTGGATGACCGCCAATGGTGAACTGATCGAGAACATCTTCAGTGAGGAATATTGGCGCGCGCTCTGTTTTGACTGTGCCAAAGACTTGTTCGCGTGCGTCGTAGACGCGGGTGCGGAGGCCTTGTTCGTCGCCTGCGAGCATAAGCTTGAAGAGGGCGGTTGCAGAGGAAGCGTATTGGTCGATCTGTATGCGGGCGAAGGGATTGAGAATGGCGAGGCCTGCGTAAACGTGCCACTTGTTCGCGTAAATGCGAAGCATGATGTTTACTTTGACAGTTTCAATTCCTCCGACGTATTGGCCCTGTTCCCAGGGATACGCGCGCTGGCTGGCCCAGGCTGTGCCCATGCTGTAGTGTGAGTCAGAAGTGAAGTGATAGAAGATTGACGGAATTATTGCTCGTACGTGAGGAAGGCAGCGTGTGTGACCGCTTGTACATTGGCGGTAACGAGGTCGTGGTCTTCGTATGTCAAATATACGAAGCGTGAACCGAAGCAGCGGAAGATGTTTTCGACTAGATGAAGAGAGGAATCTGGAGCGCGGTGTTGTATGAGAACCTGTCAAAGATAAGAGGATGAGGATTGGCGATAGGTTAGGCGGAAGGGAAATTACCAGGGGTTGTCCTTCTGGGGAAACGGTGGGGCCATGAAGAGAATGAAGGGACACGATATGGACATCCGGAGGGAGATACTTTTCAAATGCGTCCTTCTCGGGGGCTTTGACGGAGGTTTGGCCAGAGACGATTGCGCCGACTTTAGTTGCTATGTATGAGTTCCCACGACGGATAGGTCAGGAGGATATAATTTGAATGTATGGGAAGACGTACAAGGACCATACTGTGAAACGACACGGTCGATGTACTCGGCCTCCACGGAGTACATTATGAAGTCTGAAATTCTGGAAACTGCGTGTCCATCTTGATGGACGGTAATACCAGGAACGTCGGCGTATTGGAGTTTCAAGGATTCAAATTTAGCGGGAATATCACAGACGCTGATTCTATAGATATATATGAGATAAATAGATGTTAAGAAGTAAAGAGAAGGGACTTTTTCCAGCCTGCGTTTGAGAGGTGCTTCGCATACATAGCGCCCATTGCACCCATTCCGATCAAACCGATTGTGGGATGTTCCTCTGCGGGATCATTGGGAGAGACATTGGTGCGAAACATGATGATGGAAGGGAACTTTGTGAACTGAGACTGGAGTGAGATTATAAAGACGATCGAGGTGAGACTTGGATACGAGGCTAAGGCACATGAGTACTAGCGAGAGCACTGTGCTGGCTAGTGTAGTCATGGTCTGAGCGTGGGAGAGCGTAGTACCGAGGAGTGCGATGGATGATTTGATGAGGCTGGATCATTATCAGGCGCTAACCGGGTTTATGTCTTTGATCTTGTTAAGTCTTATATATAGTTTACTTTGGCGTTGCGCTCTCTGGTCTGAGTCTTCCCACATTCTTTCATTACGCTCCTTTAAACTTGTGTGTCTCCTCGTGTAGCCTTTCCATAGACCGAACTAGACCGTTCTAGCGGATCGCCCTCCCGTAACCTAATTCTAGTTTCACGTACTTTCTTTCAGGCGTCTAACTGCTCTCTTTTCCCATATCATCATGTGAGTGTCCGTTTTACTTCCAACCGTTCTTAATCTTCATATACTATTATGTCTAGGCCTGTCTAACAGATCTTGATCGCTTCACTCGATTTTACGCAACTACTATGCTCCCTATCAATTCAACTACACGCAAGCGTGCCGTTTCTCATTCTTCCTATCAAGTCGGCCACCATCATCGAACCTTGGAACACGAACCCCTTCCTTCATCTTCCGCTCAACCAACTACCCCTCCCCACTCCCTGCCCAGGTCCGGCTCACGACATCCTTATGTACCCCACAATACCCCAGATCGCATCCTTCCCCCCTTTGCATCCCTGCACAATATCAGTGCTCAGTCTAGCCCCGTCACCTCCCCGTCCTCCGCACATGCCAGCAGCAGTCGCTTTACTGACTCACAATCGTCATTCACATCAGAATCTGCCAGCGCTATAACCGATCCTCGCTCAGTATTCGAAGACAATAGGGTGCCTGCAACGTCATCTCGTCCATATTTCGGTACTCCTTCGTCCCCGGCTACAAGCGGTCGGTCCAGATCCATTACTGAATCTGATCTTCTCCCTATACACGGCGTCACTCGCAAACGTGCGTCAAAATGTCCATCTTCTCCCCATCCCCGCGCCGTGCCCGATTCACCCAATGTCGCTACCCTGGAGACCCCTGAGTCCCCTGTTGCTATGGGCATCAAGTTCCTCCTTAGCAAGCCTGCACTCCCGTCCCCCACCCGTCTATCAGGCCCATCCTTACCTTCGCGGCCCCCAACCCCTCCAAAGCCCAGACCCCATCCCCACGGCTTGCCATTCCCCGGATACTCGCATCCGGATCATCCTACGAGGGCGATCACTTCGCCTTCCACCAGCCCGCCATTCATAAGCCAAGACAGCCTTTCATTGTCTACCAATTCTGTGCCTACAAAGGAGAAGGACCAAAAGCAGCGAAATGTTCTTCGTAGGAAGCCGTCTGCGAAGGCCAAAGAAAGAATCCAACGAGAGATGGAACTAAGACGGAAATTGACGTCTGCCTCCCCCTCGCATTATGCCCATGATTCTACGTCCAAAGACACTTCATTGAGTGTTGTTCAGCCATACAAGGAACGACACGACGGATCTTCAGTGCAGCTTACCGAAGGACCTTCTGAACCCGACCCTCGATCGCCTTCTCCTATCCCATATTATACTGTCTACGGCACCCAGTCTGAATTCAGAATTACTGCGGGAGGGCCGGATGATAACAGAAATTGGTCGTTGCACGCTCATGTCCTTGCCGAACAGCGGGCCCAAACACTTCACTCCGATCCGAGTAGAAGCCTTTCGAGGAAGGGAAGCCTCTCGAGAAGAATGTCGAGTAAATGGAAGAAGGCAACGGGAGGAGGCGTTAAGGCTGACGAGTCTCCCTTACGTGAACCTTCAATTGGCCGATCAAGTTTACAAGACGGCCATTCTTTCTGCTCTCTCAATGACCGCGGACAGCTCACAAATGCAGGGGAGTCTGGTAAGGGCCACATCCGCTCAGCGACCGACCTGCAGGGCAAGTCAGAGGGTTCTAAGATTTGGAAGCTCATGAAACGGATCAGCACGGGCGGGCTTCGTGAGCGCTTTCACGCTGATACGACTGTGCCACCTGTCCCTGCCATTCCAAAAGAATTACTCAACACACCCCCTCCCCGGTCCCAGACGGTGCAAACAGACGCGCAGGCCACGTCACATAGATCTTACAGCGTATCTATGCCAAGGAGTATCGCTGGCTCAGGCCCACGGCCGAGCATGGCAACGTCCTCGTCTTCTCCTAATTCATCCGAAATAGCTTCGGCAAGTTTCTTTCGTATGTCACACTCGAGGGGATCGTCAGTCTCCTCATATGGAGAGGAGACTGTGCCGCGTCTTCCCAGCATGGGGGATCGCCATATTGTCTCCCCACGGGAGCTCCACCAAATTATAGGTGATTACACAGAAGTTCAGGGCACGACGTCATATTCTGGCAGGCCCAGTAATTCTAGCGATCGAAGCAGTTCTAGCGGTCGAAGCTATTCTGGGCGAGCCACGCCAACCGCAGAAGGCAAAGGTGATGATCAGCAGGAAACCTCGCCACGTATACATACATCCCCGATTACGCACCCCATTCATTCATTAACGTCTCTCAGAACACGCAGGCTTGTCGAGAAGCCGTCTACGGCCGCACACACTCATTTACTTCCCGATGGAAATACCTCACTTTCTCCACCACCACGGCCTGCTCGAGGTGTGGCGTGCTCAAGGAGGTTGTCGGAGAGCAAACATTTGCCCTCCCAATCCACATTTACTACTACTGATGAAAAATCCAACTCACGAATATCTCTACGGGCGCCCAGTACCCTTAGCGACGCATCTACTGCTAAGATTCAGACACGGTCAAGGTCATCCACTTCCGCGTCCAAAGACTCGTCGTCCTCTCAGCATCGGTCTGCCGTCAACTACCGCGAACTCAAAGCCGCCCGCCCTCCACCCCTCACAGAGCGCGAGAAGGCTGATATCTGGGATGATCTCCTCAAGCGTAGTGCGCAAGCGGGAGGAACGCTCCACCTCGGTGGTGGTGCCGAACTTGAGTCAGATAATTTACGCTTTTCGGGCTACTCTGAGCTTTCATGATACACCGGCCACGCTTCCACCGATATGATACCCAGCGACACATTTACTATGTAATGCAGTTCTAATCTAAATGAGCTAATTATAATAGGTCTTGATGTCGTTTAACGTTCTTTGTTCCGTAGTAGCAATACCCTGTTGTCCATGTATTTGTTCAAGTTAAACGATGTTGATTGTCCCAGCGTTTCTAATATAACTACCCTCATTACAGCCGTGTGCCAAACCCATCTCTCGCGCTCATGATCTATACGACGCTGGGGACATCCTTCACATCCGTTTTACTTGTCTCTCTCAAATCCATGGCAGGTGATGAACTGCCAAAATCCCCCAGGTAATGCCAAATAGCTGGGCACAGCAGTGACAGACCACTGGAACCCTGGAACCGCCATTGACTCATAGCATGAGTCACCAATCTCTGGATGGGCCACAGGCTGTTGCACTGATTTCCTTTTCGGTCATGGGCGCGCAATCGCAAACAGTCGTAATGATTTCCCGAGCGCATGACAACGCGTTGTTGACGGCTATTGACGCGGACGCGACCAAATGACACGTACGTCAACGTCACATGGCCCAGTTGTCACCAGAAACTCTCAAGCGCGCAGCGGGCACCCCAGTTGCATTGTTCTCTCCACGTCTACCGATATCTCCAAACATTTGACTCTCCATCCTAATGGGTTCGACACTTAGCCACACATCGTTCGAATGGGCTATTGTGGCTGGCATCGCAGGGGCTGCTACATATCGCTACCTCACATACTCCAGCTCTAGCGCACCAAGCAGTACCTCTGAACCCCCGACGGTTAGTAAAAAAGGTACGAAAGGCAAGAAGAAGAAACAGACACCGAAAACTGCCGGCGTCTCAAAGCCGTCTGAGAAGTCCATCAGTACCACCTCCTCCATCACCGCCACCACCGCCACTAGTAGCCCCACCGCCACCGCAACGTCTGCGCATGGCAATCCTGTGCCTGACCCTACTGTCGTTCCATTTCCGCATGTTATTCCCGGGGAATTTGACGCCGTCTCCCCCAGCTCGGACGACCAAAGCGTACAGGTGAAAAAGAACAAGGCAACGAAGAAGAAGACGAAGACGAAGAAGGAGAAGCAGAAAGTAACGAGGACGGCACTTGACGTTGCATCTGAACGACTGTCAGCTTCCTTGGCATCGCAGTCAGGCGGTGATGTTCCCAAAACATCCTTTGACATGCCTAGCAAAGTGTCTTCTCCTAAACAGGACGAGCAGCTGCGCACGCCTCAAATACGGTCTTCTTCTCCGTCATTTGATACTGATTCTTCGTGGATGCGGATAGACACCCGTCAGACAGCACGAGGCCCTAAGACCGCTACTAGATCAGACAATCAAATACTTGCGATAACAACGGATATGACCAGCAGTGACGTGGGTCCATCAACCGGCCACTCTGGATTTGCCGAACCTACGGATGAGGACGAATCTGCTAGTCTGGACGCAGGCACCCCAGGAGATAAGCGTCGAACGCTGGCTGAGAGGCTTTTGCCTAAACCTAGGAAAACAACCGTCGATGAGTCAGTTAATTGTCGGTTCTTCAGCCCCATATGCTCATTGGACCACCTCGTGATGTTATTCGTGAAGCATGCTCGAGCGCCCGGGTTATCCTGGTTTAGCGCGTGTGATGCGTGTACAACCCCGGGCCGATGAGGCCCCGGCGCCAGGATTTTCCTGGAAGGATTACGAGGATGTGGATGCCAGCAGCGGTACTTTAAACGACGCAGATGGGGAGGACGATGGCGAATGGGGCATCGTCAAGGGCAAGGGTCACCCGAGTAATTTATTTATTTTATTTTAACCTTGTCATGAAGCTAACAGCTGGCCGTAGAAGTATCGCGACCCTCGACCACGCCTTCGCAAGTTGTGCAGCAAGTTCCAGGGACGTTAACCAAGAAACAGCGACAAAATGCGAAAAGAAACCAGATTTTGAAAGATGCTAAAGCTGACGCCGAAGTAGAACGACAGGCGAAACTTGCCGAACGCAGGCGTGCTTTGGAGCGTCAACAGATAATCAATCAATCACGCCATGGAGGGGGTAAGCAAACTAGCGGCGGCATGCAAGCTGTCGTGGACAACCAGGGAAAGTTAGTATGGGACTAAGATAATCAATCACGCCTTGCGCCAGTTTCCAAAATACTATATGGGATCACTGTGATCTGCGCTAGAGACATTTACTGACATGGTTAGGATAGGCTTAGTAGACTCGTGGTATTACTAGAATACAAAATCTCGTAATTGTGTCGTGAAAGATGCTCAGAAAAAACGAGGCTGGGTGGGGTATGCGATCGCCAAATTAAAGCGAAAAAGTCATGTCCGGCGTACCGGGAATGGAATCTGCGGAACGTATTTCTCATACAAGGTTGACGCGTGGTGTGGAGTGTGAGCAGAATGAATAGAACTGAAATGCCACCAATGATGATCAGAATTAACCTATGAGCCGGCGAAATGCCGGAAGAGTCTATCGCTCTACAGGACCTTGCCTTCGGTCTCTGTTATCCCCCCCTTCCCGCCCTACGGAAGGATCACCATAACGTCTCGATGACGATAAATGGTGTGTCCCTGGTGACATTGACGGGCCTTCCATTGTAATGCCTGCTGAGCCGGACATCGCAGCATGTTCCATCGCTTGAGGATGCCGCAAAGAAGTTCCACTGGGCCTTTCCAACTTTTTCGAACCGGGCGCAGACGCTCGCCCAGTATTCTGAACGTCTGCGCGTGGAAGTTTTTTGGCTGAGTATCAGCATTGTAAGGAGATGTGATGGAAGCTAACGAAAGCGGGGACTGCCTAACGATAGTGGGAGACTTGGCGTCCGAGGGATGGCGGAGATGAGATGGGCCTGCACTTTGTGCGACTGATTGGGTATTCGAGGAGGAGGATGGAATGGAAGGTCCATGACTAATTCCAGATCCCGCGATATGAGGTGAGGAAGAGCCGGCGTAAGATTGTGATTTTCCCGGGTCTTGGGTGAAAGAAGATGATGAAGCAACATACAATGCCTGTCCCGCGGACGAATGGGCTGAATGGTAGGAGGTTACGTTGTCTGATGACGACGCCCCTGAAATATCAGCAGGGATTGAATACATGGGCACGTTGGCAGGGCCGGCTGGTGGGGGGAAAAGGCGCGCGACCACGGATTCAAGGTGATCAAGTCTTGACTTCAGTTCGTCGTATTCAGCCTTACTCCTGTTCTTGAGTTCCTCATACTCAGTGCGAGTGACGTATTTGTCACTGGACATTTATGAGGGCAGGAGTTTCTAAACAGGATAGATACTACTTACACAGGCTCTAAGGTTCGCCATTGACATTTTGACTGTTCACCACGCCTAGTACATGGCCCACAGGGCTGAGCTCTGTAAATGCAAAGTCAAAACAGCACGGCGACGTGGTGACAATTATGATGGCCAACCTGTCACATTTAATCTTACGCCGTTTACATTCTTTAAAGATCGCGTGATGTGGATAAAAAGAGTAAGGACATAAACAAGAGGGCAAAGATTGAAATCGATAACGATGAGCAACATAATTTTAAATTGAAATAAATAAGACTTACCATTACAGCTCAGAGCTTGTCGTCGCCTTTTCTTTTTAGCTGGACCTTGCTGCTCTATCTCACCTTCAGGCTCTGAGTCGATCATTTCAGAACGACCGTATAGGGCATGCTGTGAGGGAAGTTGCTGAATTTCAGAGGAGCCAGAAGGCCCTGAATAAGGACTTGGGAGTGGGTATGTGTAAGTAGAAGGATCGCTAGGGGGCAAATGTTGAGCCATCCCCGAAGGTGGAAGATAGGGGTGGAGTTGACGAATAGAAGGCAAGGATGGTTGCTGGTATGGGGCGATAGGACGGGTCTGTGGCGAGGCCATTAAACGTGGAGGGGGGGGATGATGACTGGCTGGGTCAGGTAGCTGCCTATTGGTGTCCATAGTGGACGGAATCAGTGGGGTGGAGAAATCAGGATCGACAGGGCATTTAATACGAACCGGAAAGAAGAGGAGAATGATTTTAGAGCTAGTTGCCTGTGACTAAATTGAAGCAGGGTGGCTGTTCGGTTATATAAGGGGAATTTGGATTAGTGTTTCAGCAAAAAGGTCACTAATAAAGAGAAATTTCGGATAGTGACAGAAGCCCTAGTCCGGGCCTTGCGCCAATCGATCGGTGTGTACGGCTTCAATGAAGGTTACGTTCAAGCTGAAAAGCCTGCCCCTTGATCAGACTAAGCCTGTGATCGCTGAGCTCAGGTTCGTAACCAACAAACTCCAACAAACCTTAGCTTAGAGTCCGCTAGTCTCCGATATCCTCGGCTGTTAACCGGCTGAGTATTAGAACCATCCATCAAAAGGAAAATATAATAAAAGGACAGTGCAAACGTTCACCTTGGTTTAGTCCCGGAACTTTTGAAGATAGCAAGCGTTGTTGCTACAAGGCACGAATTCAGTTCCGGTGATTTGCTAATGACAGTGTGGAATTAAGCTTTAAGTGCATTTTGATTTCGGCTCATTCCGAGTATCCGCGTATGTCCGGCTGTCATCCGAATCCTATCTTCCACTTCGAATCCTATCTGACCACAACTCTACCCACAGCTGTGCTCTTTCTGATAGGTCCATCTCTCGGTCCTTCCACCATATGAACCCCCGCAGCACTCGCGGGCATGTACCGCTCTTTCATGTCCGTAGACCCGCGTTTACCGGAAAACACGGTAGTTGCCCTCATCCACCGGATCATACGTACCTCCATTTCCATCTCAGGCCATACATAGTTGCCTTATTTACCCTTGGGCGTCTATCCACAATCCGTTTGGAAACCTACCATCTCTTATCATATCATCATCATCATCATCATCATCAGCATCGTCGGGTGACTGCCTCGCGGTTGCCCTCCCTTGACACATGACTCCTCTCAGGTGCGTCATACATGAGGCTAGAGTTCAAACTGATCATTAACCTTGTGAATGGGCCATCATTTTGCGCCCATTGCATACTCTTCATGTATATTTGGTAACAATCGCTCCTCTTAGAGCGTTGCATAATATCCGAATGACGCCCACATCCCATCGTGTGTATCGTAAGTTTGGGACCATCGATACCGCGACCTATTGTCATACGAACTTTTCCCTCGGGTTTCAAAAAATTCCATGTCTTCGAATTATGACTGAATCGCGTACCATCCGCCTTGCTAATAGCTATTTACAGCTGACGTGTGGCCATTTCTCATGGTAACTACTTCGTGTTTCCTCTTCAAACTACCTGCTGGAACAGAGAGATTCATACCACAGTGATATTATTATCCTCCGTCCGACATCTTCTCACTTTCCGCGAAAGCCTATCAATTTCAGAGGAAGCCACAGAAAGCCGCCCGGACAATTTTAGGCCGCTAACTCCAGAGCGCCTGTTCCGTAATCTCCGTCATCATAGTCCCGACGCTAGTAGGATTCCATCAGGATATTCTATTCTCATTACATCAACGGAGAAAAATTACTGCGGTGTCGTGGGGGAAGACCTTCCCCACAATCGTTTTGTTGCTTGACGTTAGCGACGTAAATACAAAGTAGGAAACACCTAACGCCGCTTTTACCTGAGCCAAGTGACTGCAGATCGCCCGTCCCTATTGACATCATATGGCTGACAGCATGTGTGCAAATTCGCTTAAGGAGATACTCCATAGAGAAGCCTGCCATCCACCTTTTCTATTCGCTCGTTAGTCTGGATCGATTATTCAAAGTGAACCATGTGCCTTAACGCCGCAAATATAGCAATCAGCCCTCCTTGTAAAACTGCACGTGTTCCACAGCCCCTGGGCCCACTAGCCTGGTATTAAATCGATGAAAGTGTGGATTGCAATTTCACCTCGTGTAAAGCGCGCAGAAGCAGCATGGCATCAAACTCGGAGAGTTGCCTCGCTACTTTATCTCCTTCACGACCAGCGCAGCTGATTTGCATTCAAGTTAACTCTCCGATCGGCCCGGATGTATTCAATTGTTCATGCAGTACAGTAAGTTGCTATACGGTGATAAACCGAGTACGCACGTTCATCATACGATATCGTCAATCTGACGACGTTTCCGTTGCGACGACGTGCGAGTCTCTTCGCTTGGCCAACTGGGGTCAGCCTATGAAAGACAAAGTTCAAGTTTCCACGTCATTCATAGGTAACAGCACCCTGATCAAAAATGAAAAAGGCATTATCACCTAATCGCAGCAAGCTATCGACGCCACTCCTCGCGTTGTCATTTGGATGATGTCATTAAGACATATGATGCCTCCAAGCATGCGTAAAGAGTCGTCCAGTTCATGGATCCTGTCACCGGCGATCACGCGCTGCGGACTGCCTTCATCACGGTTCATTCCCCAACCACCCCATGTCCGCAACATGAGTCCGTTTGTTGAAGTCGCGAACCATAGTCCCTGCAAATAAGCTCTATTATCATGAAAAAAATATGAAGGGTCTATACGGCGGCATTCAAATAACCGGACGCCCATGCGAAAAAATAGAGTTTAGATTTGTATCGCCGACCCTGCTAGTAGTTGATAGTGCCTCCGTTAATCGAAGTCCGAGCTAGTCTATAGAATACCATTCAAGTCACTGTTCGGTTATTGAAAGAATAGAAAGCGACGTTACTGTCCGACTTCCGGCTAAGGAATGCATCTCAATCCGAGGTAGGCTATTCCGCGGCGGCCACACAGGCTTCGCGGCGTTCTTGCTCATAACGCCACAGCCAGGGTAGGCATAAACCCGTATACTGCCTCATCAAGCTATGAAGCTTGGCATGTCACGCCCCCCTCTGCCGAGCCAGCCACCATTCGCTTTCGTTATTGCTAGCCACATTAAATGAACGACGTTCAGGGAAACTGCTAAAGTCGGTGTCCGGTGTGTGTCTGCTGCCGATAACGAGACGGCCCAGATAAGCCTTTTTTGAGATAGGCGTTTACTATGAAGTCATGCTCCGAGAGTATCCGAGTGATAGAGCAACCTCATTCATGACGTCCAAATCAATGGCGACAGCAGAATAATCCCCGTAGTGGGGAAATAAATATGTTTCCATTTCCGTTCTGCAGTTCAGGGCATGACGCGCAAGTGTAACCGCAAGGTTTGGGCCAATAGAGTCCGACGGTGATGTCGGTCAACTTCAAACTGGGGACATTGATTAAATAATTATACTCGCAAGCGTGTCAAAAAAAGCTGCGGGAATTACCTACCAAGTGAGGAGCTTCGAGTGGGTGATCTGTACTTGATCCGGAAAGTGAGTATGAAGGGATGCGAATTCCATGAGAGCTTTCGATAACACTGAAGAAGGAATAGGGCGTGCTGCGGTGTAGGCGATAGAGGACCACTTCTTCGACCAGGAGGGCGCACCCATGGGCGTGTTTAGGCCCTCTCGATCAATCCGACAGCCTGGCGTACGAATTGGCTCGACACCACCTGTCCCGCCTTGGAAGGAGCTACCCAAAAGCACTTATACCTCGGTATGATATAGTGAGTGAATACGCGGCCAATGTCTCCCTGAATGCGCACTCTAACAACCAGACGCATTATCACCCATGAGGATGATACTAAAAAAAACGGAACTCACTTATCGCAAGAGGGCGAATTAATCTAACCTTTAACAATCTCTTTGAAGGTTCAAGCCCATCCTTGGTCGCCAAGATTTTAACGGGTGTATGAAGAACCATAACGGGTATTTGGATATTGTCGTGACCAGCCAGATAACCCGGATCCAAACCTGAACACGTAGCCCGTGCGCCACGATCTACTCATGGAGTTTTTTGCAAAAGAATCAAGGGCTTTTGAGCGGTAGTAATGCTTGAATGCATACGCAACCCATTCGGTCACATCCAGGCCGTTCTGGAAAAATGGGGAGATTTCCGAGTGACGAAATGACAGGACGTCACTTGATCATGGCCAAAAAAGCACAAAAAGTACCTTAGCATTCTTGCATAATTAAGGTGGAACGATTGTCTTCCATTTGTGTGGTCCAACTACGGGAGACGAGCACTGCCGTCAGCCGAAATACAAAGTGCACAGTATCAGCAGCAACGACACGCGAGAACAACTTGAGATACTCAACAATAGTTCTACTGCCGTAGCAGATGACGGAGACAACCCTGTCGTTGTACCCAGCATCTAGCAAGTCTTGTGCTAAAATTGCAATCTAAGTGCCATGGCAAAGTCAATCTACACGCGTCGCGTGGCAAGACAATCTCTCAAAACCTATTATGAAACAAGTAAATGTACAACTTACAACACGTCACCTGCAATCGAGCAGGGATGTTGAGCTTCCCGATAATCACAGCGTGATAACCCTGTAATAGGTATTCACTTTGCGCAATTCTCGGACACGACTAAAATGTACGCAATGTTTTGTCTTCTTGCGAGTGGGATCCGAAAAAAACGCATGAGGCCCGAATGATCAACGTGAATTGCCTCCAAAATAAGCAACGGAACAAAGCTCGTAATAGAAGATGGAAGTCATCAAATGGAGTGGGTGGAGTCCAGTAAGAGTCAGACTGTGATGGAGAAGTAGGCGATCAAATATCCGAGCGATGAGGGTTTTGACTACTGGTGACTCGGAGTCCCAGACGAAGCTTCACGCGCACGGGAGTAGCCTTAACCACGCGAAGGAAACAGGGTGCTGTCACCCTTGTGACGTGATCGAACGTCAGGTTGAAAGATCTTGTAGGTTTTTTGTATGTTGCCAGAAACGACCCACACACACGAAGGGTCGATGACAAAATCACGGGTGTGCATGTGAAGCGTGTCCATTGTCCGTGATCGGCTCGATTCAGTTCTTCAGATACAAGCGGATGGCCATTGTTGGTATGTAACACCAGTAAAAATAAATTTGTGATGTGCCAGGCGCTGATTGACCGTTCAATCAGTAATAATAAATAAGTGATAAACGGCATGCCCAGCTCCTGCATCCATCCATATGCTCGATAGTAAATAGTAACGAAGTGGTATGTCCATCATCCAAACTGTAAGACGCCAACTTCAACATCGAGGTGACTGTGAAGAAAAGCCAACAGTGCAAATTTGCGATATATATGCGTGTAGGCAGGATGGTCCGTGCGCGGGAACACTAGAGGTATTTAATGCGTGTATCCACCTAAACATTTTTCTTTATCGAAAGTTCACCTGGCGGGTTGATATTTGGGTTTCTCCTTGGTTTCAGGACTATTTTTTACTGGAGAATCTTGAACCTATACAGCTCAGGGAGAAGAATCCTTTCACCAAGTTCGTCCTGACATTCCAGAGGTCATTGGCGACCCGTATGGGAGGGACATCTGTACTAGTAATTGTTACATTCCTCTTTGTATCAACAAGATCCATGAAAATTGTACAAGTGGCTGACTTTAACCATACCTCTTCGCATCGACACAAGATCATTGAAAATTGTAAAGACTGACGTGTGGTCCAAGTTGAAAAAGGTCTCATGAGAGATCGAAAGTCATATAATACACAACATACGTATACTACGTATAATGATACTAATACTGGAAGTTTCAATGTTCACTGACAAGCACAGCTGCCATGCCCATTCCTGAGCCAATACACATGCTGGTGACGAACACTCGCTCATTACGTTGTTTCGCGATGTTGAGACCAGTAGCAATTTGACGCGCTCCCGCTGTGACGAGAATAGATCAAGACATAATTGATACGCAAGAGTTACAAGACACGTACTGCATCCGAGTGGGTGTCCGATCGCGATCGCACCCCCATTGATATTCACTTTGTCAAACGGCAAGCCAACCTTCTGGATGCTGTACACAGCCTGTGATGCGAAAGCTTCGTTGATTTCGTAGAAGTCGACATCGTCTTTGGAGAGTCCCGTTTTCTCAAGGACTTTAGGGATGGCATATGCCGGACCCACACCCATGATACGCGGTGGTACACCCACGACTGTCGAAGTGACGTATTTGCCGACAATGGGAAGACCCAGCCGCTTGGCAACAGAGCGGCGAGCAAGGACTACAGCTGCTGCACCATCAGATACCTGTGAGGCACTCCCTATATCAAGTTTAGATGGCACAGTCTAAAAGAGGTATCACAAAAAACCCACCAGCATGCGTCGTGCCATTCTTCGTAAATGCAGGCTTAAGTTTCGACAAACTCTCTGCGGTGACACCATCACGAATACCATCGTCCATGTCAACGACAATCTCAGAAACTTTTTCAGTTTTTGGATCAGTTATCTTGACCTTCAGAGGGACAATCTCATCCTTAAACTTTCCGGTTTTTTGGGCAGCGGCAGCCTTTTGATAGGACTCGGCTGAAAAATTGTCCTGTACCTCGCGAGAAATGCCGAAGTCCGAGGCGACGTTCTCAGAAGTGATACCCATGGGAATCAAACAGTCTTCTGCTTCTTGGCTGGTGAGGACCTCATCTGACCAGCCATCGGGTAAGGATCCAGCGCCGTATCCAAACGTCATGGATTCAACTCCAGAACCTATAAGACTTCTTAGTAACAATAGATAATATACAAAATCACTGCCTACCAATGCCGATGTCGATTTGTCCAGCAATGATTTCGTTTGCAATCTGATTGACAGCTGCAAGACCAGACGAGCATTGACGATTCACAGTGTTGACTGAAGTTGTGTTTGGAATTCCTGCATGAAGGGCGGCCATGCGAGCACCAGCGGCACCACCGCCGGGAGGTAGGACGTTTCCGACAGCGATATCCTCAATAAGGGCTGGATTAACCGTGGCTCTAGTATAGGCGGCTTTCAAAACGCCGGACAGGATTTCCTCTGGACGAGTATCTTTGAAGCCACCTTTCCTGCCCTATAAGGAGTAAGTTGCACCCATGTCTAGGTCTCCATGTAACAGTAATGGTACCTTGGTGAGAGCAGACCGCACAGCGGCTATAATAACAACGTCGTTATCATTCTTAGCAAGAAGCCTTGCTCTCGCGCTTGATGATGCCATTGTGGAGTCGAGATTTATGTTAACACTTGTGGATGAACCCTGGGAGTCGGCCTGAGGGAAGGTAACTGAGCAGTTGGACTCGGGACTAATAACATCGTCACGCGCAAGCATGTGTTTAATTTAGACTCCAGCTTAGTCATTCAAGTCCGGGTAACATTTGGAACCGTTCTATCCTGTCTCAGTCTTGTAATCACCTGATCATGAACGTCAACCGTTGACTGAACACTCTGCAGTGTGCTGTTGGACTAGATTCAGAACATATATGAAGTTCCACCCATCCACGACTTATGGCTTCCAGATCCAGCTATAGTACGGGCCAGACAAACACATGTCATATTCTCACATCATCATGTGGGCCACTTGCTAGCACTGTGCTTTCCACAGAGATATATTGGCTATGGAGCAGTCATCATCGGTGGTGGTTTTCACGCGCCAGTCACCTTGAATACGTGTAGATTTGTGAGGGTCAGGGTGTCGTCAAACATCACATCCACAGACGATCGGTATGTAGCACAAGTCGTGGTTGATATATATGACCGCAATTCAAGAACGAGCTCATAAAAAATTGTTCGTATCAATTTAGCGGAGTATGTCTCACTCCAACTTTGCACTCAATCCACCCACCTTACCCATATTAGACCCGCAGTACCAAAACGAGATGCGCCTACCCGCTCAGGCTATTCCATAATGTTCACATAATGAAGATGACACGCTTTACGACCAATATTCGCTCACTTCATCAAACTGCGGTGGTGGCATTCCGATGGCTTATGCTTGGCAGTCCTGCAGTCATGAACGCTGCATTTTTTTAGTTGCCGTGACCTGTGTCCAACAGCCGCAGACGTCGGAAAATATGCTGCGGTCGAAATCTGGAATTTGAAAAGCCTTGTAGAACGAGGTGAAGCATCCAGGCAGCATCAAAAATTGATTGCCGTATTTGTGAAGGCTTGAGCGCTCAAAGCTAACTTTCCACCTGCCCCAGACTGTGACTTCACCTCCGATTCTTTCGTCGCTATCTGTGCCTTTGACTCATCAAAAGGCCCGATGCTGAAGGATATGTCCGAGGGCAGTGTTTCCATCCCACAGGCGAACTCAAGGTCCGAATCGAAACCCATGACCTAAATTGCTGCAAGTTGATCTTCAGCAGGATCCATTTTTTGGACGCCGACAGTGAACGATCAATCCCAAGGAGTCTTATTGCTGTTAGGACCGAGGCGTTATACACCCCTAGTTGTTTCTTCACTTGTCAGGTATCGGGACCGCGGGGAGTTGCCCAGGGTCTATTATGGCAAGGCATCCTTGTTTATCCGTACGCAGATCCTTATTTGAAATCAGTTTGCTCCCTTTCACTCTTGCGTGCGTCCGCACGCAAGACAAAAAGTTGTGGGAACGACCGGCTACTGTTCGCATCGACCGGTGGACGAGCTATGTAGTCTTACAAAGACATCACCCCCGTTTTGGCGCCATATTAGGCCCCTACGGCTGGTGAACAAGCGACTTCTCCTAATACAGCAAGTTTGTTCAATAGCCAAGTACGAGCGGTGTGTTGTTTGAATTTTCTCGGAATAAGGACGGTCAGGTCTCTTCGTATGCTCACGTCGATAGTGGTATTGATGAAGCCCCGCTTGTTCGAGAGCCCTCGCTTTACCTCATCGGTTTATCTGCCACGGGAGTCAGACTATTCTGATGTCAGCAAGAATCTGGTGCACGAAAAGTGCTGATTTTCAGCAACCAGATCCTTTATGGGGTGCGTCATTCGAGTATTCATGCTTGCATTTTCGCGATTACGATTCGTTGCGACAGCAATGTTGATCTGTTCATATTCGTCTCGTTATTTTGACACTTCAACAAACGTCTCTCCTATCTTTCGGGTGAGTGTGGTCGAGACGGCATGGTGCTGATGGCATTTGACATGTCGACGATAGTGCCTGTCAACGCATTGGAACAGGCAAGGACTGCAAGGGGAACCAAGGCCAGACGGGAGGCTGTCTATGCAGGACTACCGACTACGAGCCAATACTCCTGCTACTGTGCCAGGACGCCTGACACTCCAGAGGACCTGCGTCAGATCCTACTACACCACCGACTACGAGCCAGAACTCCTGCCACTGCGCCGAGGCCGGCGCTCCCAAGGACCTGCGCCAGACCTCCCCGCTACAGCATTCATGCGGGACTTGTTAGCGTACGGGTTAATTATTCGTGTAGTCGACAGGATTCCCGGAGCCCCATTTGCTGCTACGACAGGTAAAAAAGTGCAGGTAGTGGCCTGAAGCGTAATTACTTACACTTGTTGCATCCTAGCCATTCCCCATGATCGTATTCCTCAACTCCCTACAATTCGTCACCCTCAAGATGTCGTCCGCAAACCTGAAAAAGGTGGTGTGGGAGCTGTCCCTTTTCTATACTGGTGCTATTCCACCGCACTCTTACCAAGGAGCGACAGCGACTCATCGTTTGGAGGCTTGCTCACTAAAATTTGGTTGAGGACGGAGGTGTTGTATATTCTCCCATTGTCGATCCACCAAGAGGCAAAACCTTGCACATGGGTGGAGATACAGTGTCACTTTACACTCGTTTCCGAATGATTTACGATTCGAACCCAACATATCTGACTCGCGCTCACTGGACCGTATGAAGCCTAAAATAGAATTCATATCAACAAGGATCTAGAAACGGTACAACCCGCCAGAGCGATGGCTATTCCTGTTGTTGTTGTATTGGCCAGCCTGGGTGCTGCACACAAGAATATTGTTCTCGTCCTCTTCGGTCGCCGACTGTGAAAAATACTCATTCATTCAGGATGATTTTTTTTGAACGCTGGACGACAGCTTTTAAAAGGATCGACATTTACCTTGCATCACTCGCCATGCGAGAATGTAAGGGTAGATCCTTTACTGAATACAAGAGTCAGAGGACTTTGCATTTCGTGTCGCACCTTGGTGAAGGACCCCGATGGCCGAATTAGAAATCTGCAGCTAGGTCTGGTGCGAGGCAGGCAAGGTGGCAAAGGGTATTTGGTACGCAATCGAATAACTGTACAAGTCTTTTGAAACGCATCAGGCCTGGCCCCAGGCGGGAGCACTATGATTTAATAGCCCACCGAGTGAGCGTGAAACCTGGCTGCTGGACGGTAATAACCAAATTAGCAGCCTTTCGCTGATCTGGTGGTACCGTAGGACCCGGGGGTTTGCGTATCAAGCGTTTGTACTATATAATGAACTTGTTACCTTGTTTACCAAAGGGGCAGGGTCTGTCGCAGTAGCAGTGGACTTCGGTCACTATAGGTATCGAGAGTAGTTTTCGGATTCCGGCATCATGCTTCCTACCAGTAAAGTCTGATGAGCGACATTCGTATCACCATACTTTGGCAGAGATCTTAGTATCGAAAGCACTTCGAACTTGGGCGTTCCAGAAATGACCTGACATTTCAAGTTTGCACTTGGACTCATCAATTCAATACCGTATCGGACACCTCAGGCTCAGTTCTCCTTCCGAATCACTGATTCGCTCATCATCTTGCCTTCTAATATCGCTAGTGAGTGGTAAAGATGCTTAAAGTGCATCTGATCGTCTTAAAACTCCGAAACAGGATGTATCAGTCCGTCTGGAAAGATACTGCCAAGTACTGGTGATGTCAGGGCCGCTCAGTACTTGGCGCACAAAATAGCTCAAGTCCACGTTGTGGAGGAACGATACACGCGGGAGGTTTTACGACACGCTAGAACAAAGGTACGAGTCTCAGTATTCGTTTCGAATCTCTATTAACAATTGTTTGTACCTAGAACAAAGGTACGACTAGATGTACGTCAGCGCTTGCGCTCGAACGTTACAGTGGGACTTGTACTTACGTCTCAGTATTCGTTTCGAATCTGAGACGTTTCGACGAAAACAGCGTCCTCTTATACGGTGAGTCTGCCAGCAATAGCTTTGATGAAAAATATATACTTAAAGAACGAAAAGATTGCCGACGTTGACACGTCGTCGACGTTCTCCGTTTGGAGACGCTCGCACTCGATGTGCTCTATTCTTCGGCCGTATCGTCCTTTCCTTTCTCAGCTCTCTCTCTCTCGGCCTTACTTCCCTCGGACACATCGGCTCTCAACACTCCCCCTCGAGCGTTATCCAAACACATCAATGTCCTCAACCTCTGGAGTCGGGGACGTGCCAATGGCTTCGTGAACGCGTCCGCGACATTGTCGTCACTGGGGCAGTAGATTATCTTGAAGGTACCGTCCTTCACGTGGCCGCGTACGAAGTGGTATCGCAGGTCTATGTGCTTGGTGCGCGATTGGAATTTTCCCGTCGAGACTAACGCTATAGCAGCTTGGTTGTCGCAGAAGATGGGTGTGGGGAGGTCTTGGACGTCGTAGAGCTCGCGGATGAGGAGTTGCAGGTAAAGTACTTCCCTTGCCACGCTGGTCAACGCTATGTACTCAGCTTCAGCTGTTGACAGGGCTATGATAGGCTGTTTGCGCGCGCTCCACGAAACGGGGCCTCCATGGAGCAGTACGATGTACCCGCTCATGGAGTGCCTATGTGGCTGCGATGCCCAATCGGCATCGACAAACGCCTCAATTCCTCCCTCGCTGGATCCCAACGTCAGCTCATAGTCTGCGGTGCCTTTCAGGTACCGCAGGGCGCGTTTGGTGGCCTCCCAATGGGGTCTCCCCGGATTCCTCATAAATTGCGACAGTGTTGCCACCGCAAAAGCGATATCTGGCCGGGTACTCGTAGCTGCGTACATTAACGAACCGATCGCGCGTTGATATGGTATGTCTCGCATAGCTTGGAGTTCGGCGTGTGTTGCAGGGGACTGATCTATGGAAAGGACAGTACCTGGTTCCATGGGCGTGTGCAGGACCTTCGCGTCCTCCAGGTGGAACCTTTCGAGGATCGTCTCGACGTATGCCTTCTGTGAAAGTGTCAAGGTGCGTGCTACGCGGTCCCTCGTCACCTTCAGCCCCAATAACCAGCTCAACTCCCCTAGGTCGCTAATCTCGAAGTGCGCGCGCAGCTCGGACTTAAACCGATGGATATGGGATATATGGTTGGCGGTGACGGCCATGTCGTCGACAGAGACGGTGATGACGACGTGTTCGCGCGAGGTGCGTTTGTAGAAAACGGCTTGATCTACTTTTGACCTGCTGAAGCCCATTTCATTGAAGGCTCCAGCTAGCTCCTGCGCCCACTCATATCCTGCTTGTTTGAGTCCAGGTAAGCTTCTTTTCAGCTTCAGTACCTTCCCTTCCTGACCATCCTTCAAGTATCCAGGGGGCGCTCGCATATATATGTCCTCCTGCAGACTCGCATATAGGTACGCACTTTTAATATCGACTTGGTGTATTTCCCAGTCGTGCTGAGCAGCCATCGTTAGGACTGCACGTATTGTGCTCATATTGGCCGTGGGGGCGAAGGTTTCGAAGAAATCGACCCCGTACTTCTGGCGCTGCCCATTTGCAACTAGGCGCGCGCGAAGCTTCAGCTTCTCGCCGTCCGGCCCGCGCTTTGTGGCCAGGACGTAATGGCATGGGATAAGGTTTACGCCTCGAGGTGCGTCTACGATTTCCCACGTACCTAGCTTCTCGAGTTGACTGACTTCGTAATTGATGGCTTCTTGCCACTCTGCAGCGTCTGGGCCCTTCAAGGCTTGTTGGAGGGTCGGTTCTGGTTGGACGGCGGCCAATGCTAGGTGAATATGCGCCTCTTCATCCAAGAGGTCGAGTTCTGACGCTTCCAACAGGCTTTCCATGGTTAGGGCTGCCGTTTGGCCCTCATTCAGCGCCGCATAGTACCCTGGGGGTGGTCTTACCCTCGTCGACCTCGCTTCAGGAGTAGATGGTTGAGGTTGCTGGGCAGTAGACGGTTGAGGTTGCTGAGGAGTAGATGGTTGAGGTTGCTTAGGAGTAGAAGGTTGAGGTTGCTGAGGAGTAGATGGTTGGGGTTGCTTAGGAGTAGAAGGTTGAGGTTGCTGTGGCATGGTGATGGGCTGGACGCTACTAGGTGAGTTATTATTACCGTTGCCGCTGTTATGTTCGTTGACTACAGCAGACTCCCCCTCGTCCGGCATACCATCGGCTGCCAGGATCGGCGTGAAGGTCACATTCCTCTCCACCGAGACACGCCGTCTGCCGGGCCAATACACCCGGTATCCTTTACTTTCAGCGTCTACCCCCACAAAAACTGCCTCCTCCGCCCTCGCCTCCAGCTTACCAGCCTCCAGCATATGGACGAAGACCCTGGCCCCAAATTCATGGGCCTGCGACAAGTCCGGCTTGGACTTGCGCACCAACTCGTAGGGCGTGCTACCTGGGATCGCCCTTGAAGGTAGGCGATTCTTGAGCCAAGTGGCGTAACTAACGGCCTCGGCCCACAGGTACTTTGGCATATCTCTGCCTAGGAGCATTGCTCTCGCATGCTCGACGAGTGTCCGGTTGAGTCGTTCGGCGACACCATTCTGTTGGGGTGAGTCGTGCACTGTTAGCTGCCGCTCTATACCTTGCTGACGCAAGTATTGATCGAACTCGGCGCTCAGATACTCTCCTCCTCTGTCCGAACGGATTTTGCGCACGCGCACACCTGGTGATTGACGGGCCACCCATGCCTCATAGGACTTGAACGCGGTAAGTGCGTCACTCTTTTGTTTGAGGAACTCGAGTCGCGTCTGCCGGCTAAAGTCGTCCGTGAAACTGACATAATATTTACAGCCTCCCAAACTCGTCGTCTGCGCCGGTCCCCAGAGGTCCGTATGGACTAGTTCTCCGTATGTAAGTGCGCGCATCTTCGTTTCTCTTGGGAAGGACTGCTGAGCTGACTTAGCTTTCACGCAGACTTCACAGAACTGGATGGCGGGCGCCGGATCTATGTCTATGCCCAGGATTAGGCCCTTCTTGACTGCGTCAAGAAGGGCCGCATGTGATACGTGCCCTAGGGCACGATGGACATCATTGATGGTAAGCTTTGTCCTGGCGACGTTGGCACGATGCTTACGGTCGGACGTTACAGCGTAAAGTCCCTGGACTTGGGGTATTTCTGCGATCGTCCTTCGTTCGGGGGGAGCAGACAGTATCCTGCACATTCCTCCTTCGAACAGCACGGCCAAACCGGCGGAGGCGATCTTATTGGTGGAGATAAGGGTAAATGCCATGGAGGGGGCATATAGGACGTCTTTTAGCGTCACGGTCGTTCGTTTCGAGCCCAACGGTAAGTCCATCCTCACGTCTCCTCGTCCTGTCGCATTGACAGTAGCTCCATTCGCAGTGTATATCTTCTGCGGGGCGATCTCGACGAAGGATACAAATTTTGCCCTATCCGGGCAGAAATGAGAGGTCGCGCCGGAGTCTACTATTGCTCCTCGGCGCTCTGGAGGTACGTCCATCGATTTTGCTATGACTGCGAGGTCTGACGTAGCGAAAGCGTAGTTGTCCTTTGGCTCCGGCTCTTTGGCTACATTGGCACTTTGTTTTTGGGTGCGTCCTCCTTGTCTCTGCCGTTGATTCGGCCCCTGACCTTCTTTTCCTCCACCTTTTCGCCAACAGTCACTCTTCCAGTGGCCCTTACGATCGCAGTTCGTACAGACTGCGTCGGGGTTGGATTTTGGAGCCGAGCTCTGCGAGCTCGTGCTCCTCCCTGCATTTGTTCTCGCGGAGAGCGCACTGTTGGTCCCGCGTTTGTTGGGACGTCGTTCGGTGAGTAACCGGTGCTCGTATTCCTCTGTGATGATGGTGATGAGTTCGTAGGGCGAGAGGGGAGTTTTCGTTATCTTGGCCGCTGCGTTCATCGACGACAGTAGCGGCCGGTAGGATTCAGGTAAGGACCCTAGGATGATGGCATGAAAGTCCGTATCAATGACGGCTACCCCCATTCCAGCTAACGACTCCCTCAGGCGCAAAAGCTCTGAAAAATGAGCCTTGACGTCACCACCTTCTTCGCACCTCGTCTCCTGGAGCCTCCGTCTCAGATCTATCTGGACGAGTTCGGTTTTGCCTTCATGTATGTGGCATATTTCCTTCCAGATTTCGGACGCGGATGCTAACTTTTGGACACGTAACAGCAGCCGATCTGTGATCGTGCAAAATATTTGCTGTTTTACGAGTGAGTTCTTTTGTTGATACTCATCGGTCTTTGCGTCGAGCTCATCGATTTCTTTCTGCGTAGGTGTTGTACCATCCGGCTTCGTAACGGCCCCCGTAGAGCTCTTTACGAAAGGCGTAGGCTCTTTAGCTCGTCCATCGGTATATCTCGTAAGTCCTCGTGCACCTATAGCCGTTAACGTCCTTTCCTTGTAGGTTATCCAGTTCGAGCCATCTTCGGCGAGCTTCGGGATGTTAAAAAGGTTTGAATTGGTGCTGGGAGTCGACAAGTCCATGGAGGAGACAGGGCTCATAACCTGTGGAGGAACGATACACGCGGGAGGTTTTACGACACGCTAGAACAAAGGTACGAGTCTCAGTATTCGTTTCGAATCTCTATTAACAATTGTTTGTACCTAGAACAAAGGTACGACTAGATGTACGTCAGCGCTTGCGCTCGAACGTTACAGTGGGACTTGTACTTACGTCTCAGTATTCGTTTCGAATCTGAGACGTTTCGACGAAAACAGCGTCCTCTTATACGGTGAGTCTGCCAGCAATAGCTTTGATGAAAAATATATACTTAAAGAACGAAAAGATTGCCGACGTTGACACGTCGTCGACGTTCTCCGTTTGGAGACGCTCGCACTCGATGTGCTCTATTCTTCGGCCGTATCGTCCTTTCCTTTCTCAGCTCTCTCTCTCTCGGCCTTACTTCCCTCGGACACATCGGCTCTCAACACACGTACAATCAAGCAATTAAACCCGACGTTACTACGGCGTAACGATGACACAGGGTGAGCCCTTTGGTTATATGACGCCCATGTCATCCACCTCACATAATGACACAAAAGACGCCGTCAACCGCGACGGAGTGTTACTCGGTACCCCCTATACGGGTGTAGATAAGGTGCTCCGGCGATTACATTTTTGTGATCCAGAGACTGTTAGTCCGCCATCGTAATGACCGACCATCGCTCCGTCCATCTTCGGTATAGCGTGGCGCACGTGCCCCATTAGAGTGTTTATAATACAAGGGTTCGCTATTGTGTCAATCAACTATCATGGCTGAACACCAGGACCACGGACCTCTTCCTAGCAGTGACGTTCGTGCCACAGGAATTGATGTGATCGTTGTCGGCGCTGGCTTTGGAGGTATTGCTTGTGCGATCGAATGCAAACGGAAGGGTCATCGCGTTATGATCCTGGAGAAAGTGCCTGAATTGAAGCAACTAGGTCAGTGGCTATCGCACATCTATTGTTCTCATCTGATAGTGGAATAAAGGCGACGTGAGTCTCTTTGGGGCGATGATACACAGATCGAGGACTGACAAAGTGCTAGCTGTTAAGCCTCGGCCCAAATGCTGGTCGCATCCTGGCCAGATGGGGCCTCCATGAAAGGTACAGAAAAGGCCTCATTTTTTTGATCAAAATAATTAAATTTACAACAGATTATGGGAGGTCTCCCGTTCCGCAGACGCAATGCACCTCTATGACTACCTCGGAGGCCTCATTCAAGTACAAAAGATGACCTGGCCGCTCTTCGGAGCGTTCGCTTACAATGGTCATCGAGGGCTTCTTCACGAAATCCTGTTTGAGCATGCGAAGTCCTTGGGCATCGAGATTCGCATGGGACATCAGGTCGTAGAATACTGGGAAGACGAAGCGAATGGAAAGGCCGGCGTCAAAATCCAAACAGGTGAAATTTTGACGCCGATGTCATCGTTGCTGCAGATGGAGTGAAGAGTTTGGCGAGAAAATATGTTATCGTAAGTTTTGATTTATCCTGCCGGTCAACTTACCGGTCAACATCACGAAGGGGTATCGCGACAACTCAAAACCTTCTGGTTACGCTATTTACCGGGCGTGGTTTGATGCTGAAGAGCACGGTATTGTGACAGACCCATTGACAAACTTCCTGACTCACGGGGATCAGTTTCACACGTGGGTTGGTAGGTAGGGTTTGCCCACCAGTTTTTTCATCGCTCACTCCTCGTAGGTCAAGACATGCACGTTATAGCGGTTTCCTCGCGCGGGGGTAAAGCGATTTGTTTTTTCATCACTCACAAGTGCGTCAATCGTACTTTTCGTGATATTCAGAGCTGAATAGTAATAAAATTATAGAGATAACGCAGCTGTTGATGGGGACTGGTCGTCCCCGGGTAAGATAGAAGACATACTGGACCTTGTGAAAGACTGGGACCCGCGGTGCGCTGCCATCATCCGCAAAGCTCCTTCGTGCATCGACTGGAAGCTTCTCGTCCACGACCCTCTTCCTACTTGGCTCAGCCAATCTGGTCGCGTGGTATTGATTGGCGATGCGGCTCACCCATTTTTGCCGTAAGGAAGTATGGGTGATTGATGGGGAGCCCGTTTGCTGAGCATGTGATTGGCAGATCAAGCGCGCAGGGTGCATCTCAAGCCATTGAGGATGGGGTAACGCTAGCGGTTACGCTGAACCTTGCTGGCAAAGACAATGTTCGATTGGGAACGAGGGCATGGGAATCGATTCGGTATGTGAGATAATTTGATACCAAAAAAGATGACTAAACTTCTGGATCACATTGTACAGGTACCAACGGGTGTATGATGCACAGATGTTGGGTGAGAGTACGCGTGAAAAATGGCACGGGGCGAAAGTGGGTGATTCGGGGGAAAGCTTCGAGTTTCCCATGCCAGAGTGGTTGATGGCATTCGACGCTGAAGCCCACGCATATGCTGTTTACGAGAGAATAGCACGGTCTATAGTTAAAGACGGGTATCGTCAGCCGTGTCTAGAGGAGGGTGAGGAGGTGAGAGAAGCGGCATAGGTAAAGAATCAGAAGTTTACGAGTCTTGAGCGGATCGCTAGTGTCGATGGAGGCGAAGAACGAGATATCGCCGTTGTATGTCCTATCTAGCATTGCATCACCCCTTTTTAATGAAAAGTGCCTGGTTTAAGTTGTCGTTTGATAGGCGAATTTAAAGGGACTGCTCTGCCTCATTAATAGGGACTTCTGTCACGTGAAGACCTCCACGGATCAAGAGCACGGAGTTTCGCCTTCTTTCCAAGGTTGAGCGAAGTTCCGGTGGTATGTTCTTGCGGGCCCGTACAAGGACCTGGAAGCACTGAAAGTGTACTAGGAGCCATGCGTCCTCGGAGCAACGCCGTGAAGCCGGGATCTGCGACGACCCCTCCGTGGAAATAAACCGTTATCATGTTTAAACTTTTGGGAGATTTCCGGTATAGATTGTTTCATCGTGTCTTCTTGTGGCAAGCTTCGTGACTGCTAGTCCTGGTCAACGTTAGGCCGACGGCAACCCGAGGTATAATCGGTGATTGCGCGCTCCGGCCCGTTGATGTCAGTACCTGGAACGGAGGCTTCCGGTGTTATCAAGCGCTGGCTTAGTAAATTCTGCTGCGGATGCTCTTGACAGGCTTTGTCAGGGTACGATCAACTGATCGCGTTCCACTCATCCATATATGGAAATTCGATAGTGCGGAAGCAAATATTTGATAAATTGATCGCAAGATCGACGGTCCCATGTACACGTCCAGGGGTGCAAAAGGGTATGCATATAAGAATACAACCAAATCTCCAAAAAAATCGTAGGCGTACATGTACTATAGCTAGCTAGTCGTTTTGCAATTTTATATACGAAAACAATACGAATACTGCGAATGGTATCTCAAACTCAAATAATTACGACGAATGCGGTGACCTGATGGCACGTTCTAGCCATTAATCCAAGAAATCGGACTAGTCGAGTAGCGAATAAGCAGGCATAGAAGCATCAACTTTTAGGTTATTCGTTTTCCTCCACGGAGCTCCGGCCTATTACGGGAGAACGTTCCTCCTTCATGCCACCGCTTCATGAACGCTTGACGAACGCATATCTACGTGGTGCAACCGTGGTGGTGACCGCTGACGTCCACTTTCATGTCCACGGTCTGCTGACGGCGCGGAGTAGGACGTCCGTCCAGCTGGTGCATCTATCCAAGATTGGATCTCCGGCAACGTGTTCGGGTGCTGTGATCTCCTTGAGTCAGGTACAGACTGAAGAGGGGCAATGGAAGGGTGTGAAAAATGGTAAGGCGCCAAAGGGGGAACGTGAGTGGAGATTGGTGGTAAATGCGTGGTTTGTGGGGGAGTCCTTGGCCGCATTGCCGTCGTCGCTAATGCGCCCCTGCGGTGAGGAAACTGATCCGGTCGAGACCGACCATGAGTCCGCTCGAACAACCCACACTTGTTGCACAGCTGCGAGTGAACGGAATTTGGTCATCCTACCGATCAACGCAGACAAAACAAAAAGGTAAACTTACTACTTTTCCAGGATTCAAGTTAGAACGGCGCCACGTAGACGTGTCCGTCGTACAGCAATTGAAGCACCTTCTACGGACACGGTCGCTTAATTTCGTAGCTGCATCGTCCGTATACCCAATTGCATGGTAACTTTGACCCGGAAGTGTATACGGCAGCTGTGAACTGTCACGTCCACTACTCGCAGCACTGTGTGCCAATGCTGGGCTCGAATAGGAAGAAGACACATGGTATGGGTGGGAGTCATGCGAGTATCTGTGCTCAGGATGAGGACGTGGGGTATAAGAATAGCTGTGGGAGACCCTTCCCGAGTCTCGGACTGGGTCATGCGGGTAGGGTCTAGACTGCCGAGCCATCTGATCTTGAGAATAATAGGCATCAGAGTAGGTTGAATGTGAATCAACAGAACGATCAGTGGGTGATCGGCGTGGCGCCGGGGAAGATACGGATGAACGGTCTAATGATGAAACGGATAACGAAGGGGAATGGGACAAAGTTGCAATTGGTGGAGGAGATGGCCTCCTGTATGAATGATCATAGTCGTAATCATAGTCGCGACGATGACTAGTAAAAGGTTAGATAAATCAATTGAAGAAAAGGAAGTGATGAGGAGTACGTACGAGGACGGCATTGGCATTGAGTCAACGCGGTGAGGCATTTGAAGGGGAGGAAGAACTGGATAAGTGGGTGATGATGAGTGGTGTTGAAAGACGAGGGAACGCTCTGATTTATGCAGTGGCGAAGATGTCGAAACCTGATATCAAATCAACATCAAACTTGGCACGGCCATAGAAGTATATAAAGAACTAACACGGCGCTGATCTAAGCTGGGGTCTTGAAGTGTTAAATTTGGAGTCAAAGCTGTTTCCTGAGATCTTGATTCTGAAAGTGGGTTAATATTGTCCGGTGCAGGAGCGGGTAGTCGGATATCAGGAAGGCGATGATCAGAGCACTGGTGATGACGAGATTCCCTTAATATATAAATTGTTAGTATAGGTTAGATAATTTACAAAGTATTCGACTACTTGCCATTCATCAACTGAGTCCTGCGGTAATACGGGAACGTGATCCGACATGGAAAGGGGGAAGCGGAGATCCTGTTGTACGAATTTCGGTCTATGGACAAGTAAAAAGAAGTTGAACTCAAAGAATTCACCCAGTAAAACACTTTCATTTTAATTTTATCTATTACTTACTTGTTTTACCTATAAATTACTTTTAGTAATCGGACTTTCAAAAATAGTTCCATTCACGGCTCACGCGGCTCGCTCTCACCGCGCTCCTGTAATCTTTCGATTAACGCGAATCCCCGCGACTCCCCTCGGATCATCTCACCAACGTGCCATCTACATCATCCCCGCCCCCCCCTCCTCAACACAAATTCTCATCATGATTGATCAAAACTGCCACTGCTCGACCTCGGAATGATCGTTCGTCTCCAACTTTTCAACTTGCTGCGATCCTGTGTTGCCTTTGTTCTATATTTGCTTGCCGGGTTATCATCTTGATCGCCTACCCTATCACAACGACCCTGTACATCAATCAGATTCCGAAGCTTTCATTTTTTTTTTGATTTGGTAGACTCTAAATGGATCTCTCCTCCCCGTGCCATACACTGTGTCCCCAACTGCTGTAGTAGCGCCAGCCCATCACTCCTCCACGTTTGCATCAACGCCCATCATGATGGCTAATCATCATCATCCGGTGTTTCATGGATGACGCCCGTCCAGACTCTTACAACTAACACCTCACGTTCACGAGGTTCCCGTGGTTTTTTACTCACCCCATCAAGGCGGATCACAGCGCGCACACACTCCAATCGTCTTTTAATAATGAGCCCAGTTCTCTCGGGCATTTTCTCCCGCTTTACAACGACCCTTGGTCGTCACCCTCAGTTAGGCATCATTTTTCTTTCACATGAGAAATGTTCATACCACGCTATCATCTCTTTCCGTCGGCCTTGAAAAACAAAGACAATTGACACCTTTTTCGAACGTGACAATGCAGCGGCTTTACGCAGATAAGCTAGTGCCATAACGTCCTTGGCATGGCTTTGCGCCCCACGGACTGACAAACGAGAGTTTGCGAAGTTGTTGTATGCATAAGGCACGTCCCTGAACAAACAGCGGCAACAATACTAGTAAATGTATTTCCAGGAACGCCACTGATGATAAGTTGAGTTCGTCTCAATGTCTCAGCTTATTCTCGTGGTTGTTTTTGCTCGAGTTCAGGTTTCAACTGACGAGTACTCTTTGACACGGGTTTTGAATTCACATTATACCTGTCCCATTGTGACATTGTTCTATTTGTGGCTGTCTTTCTTCTCCCCGCTGACATCCATCGGGGCTACGTATACCTGATTGCACGTGGGTCGCAGGCTGCGGGTCCGTACCTCAGCCCTAGATCATGGATAGCCCCGGGAGCAGAATGACTCGGTCCGGAAACATCTTGTCTTCCTGAAGCCATCCATCCCTTCACACATACTGTATTAACCGATACCGCATCAAGCATCCAAGTACAGGGCAGGGGCAGCTCCATCAGCAGCCTCATTGTCTCTACTTTGCAAGGAATCGATCGATCGACGGGTTTTCAAGTTAGCCTGTCATTTCTCCTTTGATCCAGCGTTTGAGATACTGTCGTCACGATTGGGTATAAATATCACCTCCCCTTCCGACTCCATCATCGAGATCATCCGCCTATCTGATCCTGCGCTTCTCCGTATCTCTTGATCATGATGCAAAGTGCGACCGCTCGCCCAATATCCCAAAGAGGCATGACAAAAGCTGCATCTTTCACTGGTAGCAACCGCTCTCGAGGCGATGGCCGACCAGCACTACGCCACAGGAAATGCAAATGTTGCAACGGCGTTATCTGATTGAATGATTCTTTCAACGGATATCGAGCATTTTCTGTCTGTGCTAGAGGGTATTGGGGATGGTAAATTCTAGCGCACATACTGCTGTGGGGATAATGATAATGCGTTCAGGCACTGCCTGCGCTGTCACCAACCGTATATGGAACGTGATAACGGACCCCGTTCCTGCGCTATTCCCCACACTGCAACGTATACTTCATACTGGAATGGAAGTGGTGTTACCGCCCACGGGCGAAGTCGTGAGCTGTGGGGCTGCTCTAACCATGAACGTCACACTGCATTTCACGAGGCGTCGTACGACGTCCCTGGAGAACGTGGAATATAACCCAATCAGTGTCAATACGTGCTGAATGGAAGTGCGCTGAGATGCCTGGGAACGTTGCCGTGTTCGCGGAGAGGGCATGAGAGAGAGGAAGCGATCGATGAGATTGCCGCCCGTTCCTTGTAGTCGTTATGAATCGTGATATCATCATCAGATACGGAATTGTTGCATCGTATGTACCGGTTATCAATCACATCTTGGACAGAAATACTTTCGAAATCTGATGCCGATGAGGCGGCATCACTGATGGGCCCCTTTGAGGCCCCTCGTAACGTGAATCTTCGGTATGTATAGCATATTGCGTATGGATCCGTGCTAGTCATACTACTTGATCAGTCTCGAGCTAATCTCCAAATAGTCAACGCAAAACAAACATCACCCGAATGCCATGCTCAACTGCGTCCGAATCATGCTTCGAGAAAACGAAGGCATACGTAAATTCCCTAGAAGTGATAACGTTTCATCTTGTACGCGAAGAGTTGGAGAATGAGGTGTTTTGGGCCCATCTGCCGTGCATCGAAGAAGAGAGATTCGTGCATGTGGCCATGCCGGCGGCCGGTCACAGACGGCCCGCGGGCCAATCAGGCTAATGCAAAGTTCAGCTTTACATCTACTAAACCTACGCAAACATTCTACGCTGCCGACGTCGCCATCAGCGATTCCGGCAGTTTCATCGTCGCGGATGCATCGCGACATGTTGCCGACTCGGAAACCCTCGTGTTCATTCAATTCGCCGCAACAACGAGAAACTCCAGATTCTTGTGGCAAAAGCCTTATTAACTCAGTTATGTAAAGGTGCTCTATCGCGCCGGTGGCACGAGTGCAGAAGGTGAGAGATCTACAGCTCCTGCAACTGATCACTTCCGCAACTCGTCCACAAAGTACTATGACCTGGCACTATCCGGAACCCCGCGGAAGGGCGCTGTCTTCAAGAACATTCATTTGTTGTGTCAAGGAGTTCCTTCACTTCCTCTCATTTCTGTATCCAGAATTTCAAGCCACGGCTTCGGCATACCGTCAAGCCTTGAACATAGCCTTGGGTACCTGGTCACGAGGAGGGAGCATCATGCTGGAGATAAGATCACGTAACTCTTATTTGGGTGTCGATGCCACGCGACACCTCCTGATGATGATTCCGCCAACTGGTCAAGTGTTTCATATGCCTCATGTACGTGCAGAATAATACTCACCTTATCGCTGATACTTGCGCCGTATGCTGACAACGATTTTATTCCATGACATGTCCTGAAGCTCATGGACAGTATATATGACGGTACCAGTGCATGAGCAAATTCTGCGTGTGGAAACAAATTCTTCAGCATCATTATGTTTGCGATCAAGCTCAGCTTGGTGTTTTCGACGTTGCTGTCGGTGCGTTCCGGGCTAGCCTATGTCACTTATGGAATCAGTCCCAAGAATGGTATGCCAAGACCCGTGATCTTCTATCTCGAAAACTAATAGTTGTCTTAGGACAGGCCCTGCCGGACTTATTATACGCGACAATTGACGATCTCCAATCTGGTCTTGCGGCTGGCACGTTCACCAGTGTAGACCTCGTCAAGGTATGGGAGTTTTCTCTTTTATTTCGATCCATTTCGATCCTCTCTTTTTTTCAAAGGCATACGTGGCTCGTATAGACGAGGTCAACCCTGTTTTGCATGCGGTCATCGAGACCAACCCAGATGCTCTTGCGATAGCAGCATCTCTAGACGCTGAAAGAGCGGATGGATCAACCAGAGGGTATTTTTATTTATTCTGATCTCCACATTCCTCAATCTGATTGTTTTGTAGAAAGTTGCATGGCATCCCGATATGCATCAAGGACAACATCGCGACGCTTGATAAGATGAATAACACCGGTCAGTGACAAATACCGAATCTATTACGCCGCTTCAGCTCAATACGTATTAGCCGGCTCCTTTGCCCTGCTTGGTGCGATTCCGCCGAGCGATTCTACGGTCGCGGCAAAGCTCAAAGCTGCCGGCGCAATCATCATCGGGAAGTGTAATCTCTCTCAATGGGCCAATTATCGCTCGTCAAACTCAACGAATGGATGGACGTCTCGTGGCGGTCAGACTATGGGTGCCTACTACCCGATGCAAGACCCATCAGGATCCAGCAGTGGTCCTGGGGTCGTCTCATCCATCGGTTTGGCTGCTGCTGCTGTGGGGACCGAGACATCTGGCTCTATCATCTCTCCTTCAAGCAAAAATAGTTTAACTGGAATCAAGCCTGTGTGTCTCCATGTCTGCTTTGATCTATGGATCTATACAAACTGTATTATTATTTCAGTCTGTCGGATTGACCAGCAGATACCTCGTTGTCCCGATCTCGCAGACTCAGGATACCATCGGTCCCTTGACGCGAACAATGATGGATGCAGCATACATCCTGTCCGTAATTGCAGGCGCGTTTGTTTCTGATGTGTATCAAACCTATCGATCTGATGATTTCAACAGGCGAAGACTCCCACGACAACTATACATCTGCTATCCCATTCGAAACTATTCCCGATTATGCAGCCGAGTGCACTAGCGAAGGTCTACGAAATGCCAAGATTGGCATCCCGCGCAACGCCATAACGGTGTCTTCAACCAATGGTCCAGAGATTACAGCATTTAATGCATCCATCGACGTTTTCAAGAAACTTGGTGCTACGATAGTGGATAATGCTGATTTTCCAGACCTCGCTGGATACTTGAACTTTACTGGGGCGGGTGTGAGGCTCTCACTTAATTGTTGCTTTTGAGAATAACTCACAATGTTCCTCGCTCAGTACACTACGGATCCGGTCGTCGGTGCTGACTTTGCCTATGACGTCGCAAACTACTTCAATGAAATGACAACCAACCCCAACAATATTGTGTGCGTTGTCAGACTCTTGATCACTTTTCGTCGCTCATTTATATGCTGCCTTATAGAAACCTTCAACAGCTCATAAACTTCACGGAGACATACCCTCCAGAGGACTACGTGCGTTGCGTGACTCACAAATGTGTTATTATTAACTAAGTTTATGTTGGACAGCCTGATCGCAACATTGCAACGTGAGTTGACCCATCATGATGGGATCTAATTTTCTTCACCTTTTTGAATCGCATCAGGTGGCTTGGTGCTGCGAGTCTTAATATCACCATGGGAGATGCTGATTATTATGCTGCGCTTCTTCAACAATATTATTATGGATCCAATGCCAGTGAGTTTCAGCGGCTGATGTCATCTACATTGCATGACAACATACCTAGCAATCCTTGGTGCTTTGGAAACGTATGATCTTGATGCCCTAATCATTCCGAGCTCGATGTCACCAGGATATGCAGCCATCGCTGGGTACCCCATCGTCACAGTCCCGCTTGGTTACTACCCCGCAACTACAAACGTTACCTATAACTCACGTGGCACGCTGGTAGAGCTAGGGCCGAACTTCCCGTAAGGCATGGTGTTCTTTACCTACATATCGAGTGCTTATCTCTTTATTTATCTAGCTTTGGTTTGTCGTTCTATGGTAGGCGGTTCAGCGAGGCCACCCTGGTCAAGTATGCTTGTGCCTTCGAAGCTGCTACCAACGTACGTCCTGCAATATATTCTTGCTACTCGGAGCTGATTGGTGGTCTCTTGTTAGTACCGCCAACTACGGGACCCTTACATCATCCCCAACATTCAGCTCGTCGACGTGATGTAAACGTCCATAGCTGATGTTCTCAGCCGACAAAGATGGTCTCCCCCATCCTGCAAAATTGCTGCTGTGAACGTATAGACGTAATGAAGGATAGGGCTCCCGATTATATCACATTGACTTTCACATAATCATGATACGCCCCCAGCTGTATGCGGGGGATCTTACTGATGAGTCGGACTGGAATACTCGGCCCGAATGTACACATCATATCGTTATTCCCAACAAACGTGTTCAGAATCAATCGCAGATGACCTCGTGCTACATCAAATCTGGCGCATCGCATCGCAGCATACAGCAATTACATCGGTTTGCAATTCTGTTTCCTGACCGGATGTCGCTACGCGGGGTTTGTTCGGATGGATCGTATCGATGAGATAAGTCGAAGGTCGATGAAATCGCTGTGCGGGGAACAACATGTAATACCTCGCAACCTGGATGCGGCAAAACCAACAGTCACGGCGTACACTAAGTCGAGGCTGATTTTGATTTAGCATTATGGATTTCAAACGCATGCGATGCCGTCCGCGTCTTCGGTCAGCCGTAATCAACAGCCAACCCACAGACATGGATTAGTAGTTTTGCTCTTTAGTTGTGCACGCACAGGACGTTGTGTCATAGTAAACGCAAGTCGTTGTCTACAGTCTTGTAGGAACGGAGTCTTTAATCAAGTTAAGTACAAGGAGAGCAACTGCTGTGTTTTGAATTATGATTTCAAGTCACTCCATGGATCACTTTCCTAAAGTATTGAAGCCGGGTAGAAATCATGTAGTCGAAGCACTACGATAGTATAATTTGCAAATTATCCGGGCCGTTTGGTATGTATAGTGGTCCTTGGGGGTGAGGACATAACACACAAGACAAACCATCAGCATGCGATTCGGCATCGACGGTGTATGAAGCTATGGGATATGTCCACCGCCGAGAGTCGATGCAGCCCAGATCTCATGGACTTAGCTATCTCAAATCTGACCCCCTTCGTATTGATACATTTTTCGCTCCCAGAACGGTGTTAACCGTTATACAGGATATCGAGGACAAAATAAGGGAATCCTGAGTCAGGCAAGTAATATCAGTTTCGGTTCTTCTTTCCAGACACAGGACCCACAGCTTTCGCAAAATGCCTGTATCCTGTGTGCATGGAAACCTTTGTTCATACTACTTCTGCAGATGCGGAGCGGCCTGGACAGCTTATAGTGTTCGAGGGATTGATCAGGATGCTGATGGCTGATCTGTAGCACGTTGGGATCTATGGGTTGGTATCGATGATATCAGGGATTGATGGAAATCGTGTATTGCGATTCGCTGTATTGGGTGTAGTTGAGACGCTCACAGGTGTTTACAAACACGAGGCGTCTTGATTTTTGAACGCAAGCTCATGTCACGCCCAAAGTCGTACTGGTCTGAAGTTCTTGCACACGCCACCACGAAGGTAGTCATCAAAGCTTTGCCGAGTAAGTTGGAAAACATGGAGATTCCCGCCGAGTCGAAGTTCTACCGGACGCGACACAGCATGCGCCAAAACAAATAGGACGGATCGAGAGCTGGCAAAGGTCCAGCGTGATCTTCATGCCTGAGATGCTCTTGTTCTCATTGCACAGCGACAATCAAATGCACGGCCACAGTAGTGTCGACAGTATATCCGAAATCAAATCAACGGCTTGCAGATCCCACACCCCAACAGCCACGAGAAAACATTGATATCAAGCATATCGAACAGAACAAACACAGCAGACTCCTTCAACTTCTATAATCACCATTGATGCGTACATACTCCTGTGATCACGAATCAGCGCCTGCGTCTAGAGGGAAAACACACGGAACCTACATAGCTGAAGTCACACGTCCAATATTGGGCGCTCTCACTGCCCAGGCCGAGATCCACCTTGATTTCAAAATCTTCTTGGCTTAAGATCTCCTTCGCGCGCACCTCATCCACTAGCTCGGGCTCGCCGCGCACTAAAACTGGAAGTGGAGTGGTACCGTCTGCCGGAACAAATGTGACATTCACGCGGTAGGGGTCGATGGGTGTGGACAAAGGAACAGAGCCAGTTGCTGCAAGGATACGGCCCCAACTGAAGTAAGTTTTGTCCAAATCAGTGGCAAGTCACGATCAAGGGTGAACTGACGTACTTTGCATCCTCACCATACAATGCAGTCTTCACCAGTGCTGATGTGCTTATCTTCGATGCGACACGATGCGCATCGGTAAATGTCGGTGCTCCCTGCACAGATTAGGCTAATGGAACAGATGAATAACCTTAGGACGACCGACCTCTACGGACACCGTAACAAATTTAGTTGCGCCTTCACCATCACGAACCACAAGCTGAGCCAGCTCGGCGGCGAAGGACGTAAGTTCCTTACGGAAGGCCGGGAACAGAGGATCGTGCTCCTCAATCTCCTTGGTCTCTCCAGCAGCAGCTCCGTTGGCGAGAACAACGATCGTATCATTCGTGGACATTTCTCCATCCACACTGATAGAGTTGAAGGAACGCTCGACTGCATACGTGAGTGCAGACTGTAGGGCTTGCGGAGAAACTGCAGCATCTGTCAAGATACAACCCAGTAACGTAGCATGAAGTTGGCCGGGGTTAGTGGGGGGACCCATGTTAGGATGTATCATGCCAGCCCCCTTGTCCATCCCAGCCATACGGAACGTCTGTCCGCCCAGGCTGAAAGTCCGAGCACGGAGTTTTGGGAATGTATCAGTGGTCATGAAGGCTTTTGCCGCACGCTCCCAGGCTGCGAAATCTGAGCCAAGACTAGAAGGTACAAGAGACGAAATTCCGGAGAGGATCTTGGAAATGGGAAGATTTTGGCCAATCACACCTGTCGACATTACGACTGTATCGTGGCTGTCTTTGACAGACTCTGACTGGGTTCGTTTGGGGAGAAGGGCATCGGTGGCCTTGACCATGGCCCAAGCATCTTCCAAACCCTGTTTGCCAGTCACTGCGTTGGCACATCCACTGTTAGTCACGATTGCACGAACATGGCCAGCGCTTTTTTCAAGTACATCCTGGCTGACGAGCACCGGGGCAGCAAGGAATGCGTTGCGAGTGAAGCATGCCGCTGCGGAAGTAGGTTTTGAAGAGGTCGAGAGTATAACTGTTAGATCAAGAACAGATGGATTCTTTTTCACGCCGCAATGTACACCAGTCAGGCTATAGCCAAGTGGAAAGGAAGCATCTGGAATTTGGACATGATGACGTGCTTTGGAAGGTGCAGGTTTGGCTACGATAGTTGGAGAGGAGGATGTAGAAGAGAAGCGCCGCCAAACTGAAGGGCCAACCCGATTCATTTGGCAATCAAACTGACTTTGAGCTCACTGAGGCCTTGGAAGTATATATGTGTAGGGTGCTTGAAAGTCTGATGCTGTGGTTGGGTTATAAAGTCTCGACTGCTGTAAGCCTAGGATTAAGGGCCGGACCAAGGCGGCCGGACAATAAAAGGCCTGGCCAGTATGATGAGCACCTGAAGTCGCCATGTCTTATTGTTATTATTATTGAGTTTTGAACACCGAAGACACATGATAAGTCGAGAAGGATGTAGTTTCATTCTGTGGTAAACTGCAATGCCATCGTAGAACAAGTTCTACTACAGTCAGCTGCTTATACAAAACGAAAGCTTCTATGTCCCATCGCTCCGTTACTCGACAATGTCTGGTAAAGACGTCGTCAAGTGCAGCACTAGACGTCTGCAACGATGACTAGTAGACTACAAAAATATTTGACGCCCTTTATACTTTGTGAAAAGTGACATAGTCACGTGTTACGTGTTACTACACTGTGACGTTGTCACGCTACCTTCCATTCATCCTCAAGTTCAGCGACCTCGACACGGCGGAAGATTTCTAGACGGCAAAATGGGTTCAACAAGGTCAGTATCTACTTGGCTTGCTTCGCTGTGTCGTATTTGCGTACTCCGTCGGTGAAGATCTCGGTGGATGGCTTGCAACAGGGTGGATGGCTTAGATCTGATACGGATGAAGTGCTTCTCGGTGCAAGGTCAAGACTGTACTCATGTTTCCTCTTGATGCACAGGCTCTACTCCAAAGGACGCGTCCTCAGCCACAAGCGTGCTAAGCGCAACACTCGCCCCAACACCTCCCTCATCCAGATCGAGGGTGTCACAACGAAGGAGGATGCCCAGTTCTACCTCGGCAAGGTACGCATTCATTCCCCTTTTCTACACTCAAAAATAGACTCAGTTGTGTGTACAGCGTGTAGCATACGTCTACAAGGCTAAGAGGGAGATACAGGGATCGAAGGTTCGTGTAATTTGGGGGTACGTCTGTCCGTTATTTGCAACAGTAGTGCAGTTGGCCTCATAACTGTGTTTGTAATCGCAGTCGTGTCACCCGTCCGCACGGCAACTCCGGCGTTGTGAAATCAAAATTCAGATCTAACCTTCCTCCACGCGCATTCGGTGAAAGCGTCCGCATTGTGCGTCCCCCTGTTTCCTCATTGCCCAACCCTTATATTGACTCGAATGTAGATGCTGTACCCCTCGACAGTTTGATTGTACCACCCTCCTGCTTCGCATCTTACGTATTCATATTGCGTATGACATGTCATATGAGCCGCATGCACACTATAAAACGCATCCAAAGACACGTCTGATTGGAATTTTAAGTTACAAACGGCTCCTAACCTACCCTTTTACTTTTTCTACAGCATGAAACGTTATCAAATGTGTGGACGTCCGTAAATTCATGTTGTTGAACCGATGGTTCCTACTGCCCCCCTGCGGCAATCCAGCTTGTTATTCAAACGCCGTTTTCAAAAAGAGAATTGCCTGCACATGTATGACAACTAGCTGGTGATCATGTCCACATTGCAGCCAGGAAGTCATCCGTGCCCAGTGGCGGTCCAGTGGGCTGCCAAACACACCATAGCCGATAGCTTCGCCTGCTGAGTAGTGACAACCGTCATGGTTGGCGTTCGGCCTTGGCAGTGATCATGATCACTCATCCCTTACCGGCACTAGGGCTGGTGTTTGGGGTTTGTGCAGTGGCAGTGTGTAATCATGCGGTTTCGCCCATCCAACCGGAAAGAATGCAAAGCCACAATCTCAGCACAGCGAATCGTCTGTTTGGAGGAAATGTCCGGCTTCAGGAGACAAACACCTCATTCGCAGATAGACGCTTGTAGAGACGCCAACGTTGAAAATTTCCAATACCTGACAGACGCCATAGGCGAATCAGGCTGAGGCGAGCTGCTTGCAGACTTTGCGATAGCAAACGTCACTAATATTCAAGTTGGTGGTCAGTCCAATAAAGGACTAGTCGCTGCTGCAGGCGTAGGATCCCAGCTTAGTAGACTCCGTCACTTCGTTTGAGAAAGCTCGCAAACGTATGTCTCAATCGAGGTTGGCGTATTCTGGTATGTATTATAATATCGCAATGGGAATTTAACTGTACTTAATCTAAGATGGCCTTCGGGGTTCATGCTACCATCAGCAAGAACAGTACTTGTGCGTTAATGAAGGGCATCTCCACATCTGGATGGAGTAATTGACCCAGTTGGTCTATTTGTGGCTCAATGAGAGAATACCCTGCGGCTGCAGCGGGGTTGAGGGGGTCCGGAAGAATGCCCAGGCGACTGTTGTCTAGCAAATCCATCACCTCCGGATTTTATCAAACCTACATGGTGTTAAAGGGTGTTGATGGCAGAAAAGACGCACGGAGAAATGGCTGCACTCGCAGAACGGAGCATTGAAGAACACTGCCAAGCCCCAAAAGCCCTTAATTCATCGTTGTAAACGGGCATGAATAAATAATTGGGGAAGCAACCCCAAGAATGTTGGCGTGATGGGGCAGAGCAGCATCCACTCAAGTGCCACCAGCCCTCATGGTTTGGATGGCGATGCTGCTTTGCATTCATACAAGGGCAGTGCTCAACAATATTTTGTGAAGCTTGTTACTGACTCGGATTAGCCTGTACCTGATTAGTGCACTTAGTTCCATCAGATTGATCTCGCAGTGACCAGCCCGATCACCTTCATATAGGTTATCACCGAAGTACAACGTCCCGTATTCCACGGAGAATTGCAGTGCTAGCAATGTCATCCAACGCTGTTCGCCGAAATGAAAACATCATTTTGCTGCAAATGTGCCAATGGAGCATTTGAGGAAAATAAGACGCAGAACACCGTTGCGAGGTCAAGACATAATCACCTCCCAAATAAAAATGGACTGACTCGGATCTTGATACGAACGTGGGGCGCCTGGCCAAAGATTTGATATAATGATTACCAATTTTAGTGCCCTCTGGTAGTGCCTTGTTCATTGGTCTGATGCATCAGCCAGATGTGGCATGGACGGCGGGGGTAGGACTCGGATCCTGTGGTCTCTAGACAAGTAGCATTGACTTGTGGTACGGACATTCCCGCCCGTCCTTCAGAAGTTCAGCCCACATAGGGCATGTCAATAATTGAGCCGCCTGGTAGCTGGCTATGAGGATCTGCGCTTAGTAGTCCATCCCATGATCAGACTCGTCACATGTTTAGTGATTTACAACGGCCTGGACGTCGAGGAAAATTTGAACGATCGGATAGAAGCGGTAGCCTGAGGCAGCAAACAATGCGAAATGTCACTATTTTATCAATAGTGAGACGCCGTGCACCTCACGGTGTGATGCACATCAGTTGTCAGTGTTTTGGGAGCCATTGGGGAGTTGTACCTGTTGGCCAATATGCTGGATGTTCTAAAAAGTCGGTTAGAAGTGCTTTGCTTCGAACTTTGCCAAATCATTGATCCCGAAACAAATGGGAAGAGTTTGTCACATTCGTCGTTCCTTTCTATCGCGAATTCCACTTCCGAGGGACATTGTCAAGATAGTGAGGTATTGTTTTGTAAAATTCTCAAGGTGATGCCGTCTTGTCATCTTGTGCATTGGAGCGCTTAAACTCCCATGTGTGAAGATTTGCAACGGTTCGCATGTATATTAAGAGTCAGTTTTATGGTGTTAAGTTTGAGGGAGGTGAGTGCGAGATACTGCACCATTCGTAGGTGCGAATGTCGGTATTTGCGATAATTGTGCACTGGCAGTGGTGCGGTCACTTCATATGGCCGGAAGGGAAGAAAAAACTGTAGAAGTCGGGACAGCCGTCATAAGTGAAGCGACCAAGTTGTGAATGCCTCGAGGTGCTATTTCTAAGGAATGGTGATCTGCGAATTTGTTAGCATGGAACCCGCAGTAAATATAGCTAGAGTCTCGTGGAACGTACTTCGTTTTCTCTAGGACAAATGCCTCGCCAAAGATGGGCAGCAAGTGAGCTGCGCGAACGATCGTGTCGACATGCACTTCTGATTGGGAGCTCCGGAGTGTCCGGCTCCAAGTCGTCGAGAAATGATGACTTGACTATCCATATTCCATTCCAAGATCGGGCTCGTCAAAGAGAAGCTTGAACGAGTGTACCGGAGAACAAGGCACAGATATCTGAATTACAGCCATAACGGAAGGGGGAAAAGCATAGCACACGGGTGACTTGAGTCCGTGCCATGTATTCCATCCTCGCCATTAGTAACTATAAGCACCTCAGTCTCGACGGAACGTACTATTTTGAGTGCCTAGACACCAGTAAACACTATTACAGTGCGTGTTAATGTCTAGTTGTCGTAGCGAGACAATGGAATGGACGTACCCTCAGGCCTCGATAGAACGGACTGAGTCGGAAGAGGCGCCGGTAGGGAAATAACTATATATGGTAGTAAGAGTCCGTAGTTGTCAATCATACTCCGCTACCCGACGTCATGTGTACTCATGCACCAACACTACTTTGTTCTGTACTAAGCTATCCACGCAAATTCTTCCGTGGCAAGCGAGGCTCATTTGTCTTTCAATGTGAAGGTGTGCTTGCACGTTTTGGTGCAATACTACAGGAGTCATCCACTATTCATCACATGATTATGTGCGGTAAAAAGACATCTTTGTTCTTGTTTTCTTGATACCAGTATATATCATGTGAAATCAGAACCTGCACCCTCGGAACCTCTACAAGTGACCTCATTCTACGAATATTCTCCTCTGCGGCTTCCTTATCTTCGCGCACACACATCACCGAGCACGTATTCGGGTCGACACGGTACGCAATCTGCATTTTCCCCGTGATAAGATCAGGGTGATGAGCCGAATCTGCACCTAGCAGGATCCAAGCACCATCTTGGGAAGTGCGCGCAAGAATGTTAATATGACCGTCAACATGCCCTGCAACAAACAAGCCTAAGTGATGTTCCCTAGTCCCATGCGTGCACTAGAGACCTGATGCATCAATGATATACGTGCTGTCATCACCGAAGATATCCATTGCGCAGGGGTAGGGACCGATTGCCACGTTTAGGTCCAAAGTTGTGATGAAACACAAACGGTCTTCCGGTACACGAACAGATGTAAAGGCTGCAGGATTGTGGCAGGAGCCAGGGTCCGCTAAAGCTTTCTTCGATCCTTCCCCGAGCACAAACTCGGCTGTAGTAAATAGGGAGGGATCTCCAACGCTGATGGAAATTAGGAAATCCATACCACCTTAGACGCTGAACGGCTCACTGATCCCAATGGAGGTGACTCAAGACTACCACATCAACGGAGGAGGGTTGAACACCACCCGCCTCCGAAGACTCTGCCGCCGTCTGCTTTACAGTAGGCAAGAACCTTTCTGTTGCAGCAGGCGCAAACTCTTTTATGTCTCTGTGAATCCCTAGGTCGAAGACGACTCGTTTATTGCTCTTCGAGTGACGTAGGAAGAATGCAAGCGAGGGGTAAACTATCGGTTCGTCCGGTTGATCACCAGCAAGAATTAAGTCCAAAGGGACGTTCATGTGTCCACCTTCAAGGGCAGATACATACATGTACGTCTGTTCATCAGATGGAGCGGGAAGTGAAAGCGTTTCTCCGGACATCGGCACAAGTTAGGATGAAGCAGAATCAAGACTCAAACGTGCCCTATAAGCAAGAGATGACGTTAGCGGACGGTGTCAGCGAAATCGCCGTGTCTCTCCCAGTCCAAACTTGACAGCATAGTAGCCTGTTTGACGCTAAACCAGGAACCCCAATCACAAACTGTTCAATTAGTTGAGTTGCGAAAGAGCGCGAAGTCCCTAACACCCTACGACCAAGGGAAGGGTGGTAGGACAAGCACTCATAATGAGGGGAGATGAAGCGGTAAGCTGGAAGCAAATCCACCGTAGACCAGGGAGAAAATGAAGCAGAGATAGGGGGAATGAATTATCTTGGAGGTGGAGAAAGATGTAAGGCCTAAGGACAACGATCAAAGTAACAGATCGACGTCCAGCGCAAATTCAGGACATTACAATGGACAACGAGTACCACGACAAACTATCCCACGAATGACAGACGGCGACTCACCGTTGCTGGGCGCCAGGCCACTCTAAGGTACTATGGAAGGAGTGCGCAGACGAACGAGCAAAGCAGGCACCACAGGTCCCATCACAACTCGCAAGGTCGCTCGAGATGCGATACGGTCCAAACGGGCAGCGGAGATCCTTATCAAATCAGCAAATCAACGGCGAGTAGTTTAAAGAAAGATTAAAAACGGACGCCGATACCGTTATGACAAAGTCCCCTCTACCCGCTCATATGACAGCGAAACCCAATGGTACTAGTATACCCCTGATGACGACTACTACAGAACCATCGGAGTTCGGCCAGAAGTCGATGCGACTTCTTCACTGTATTAATAACTCCAAACCTGGCCTCTGGTGTGAATCCTGATAGTGCTAGAAAAATCAAGATTGCGGGTTGTGAAAGACGAACTGGAGCGGATCAGGTAACACAAAGGAATAATGAATGACAGTCACTGTACAACCAGTTCTCAGACAGTACACGCGCGAAAAAAAACACAAGTCCAAATACGCATTGTGCCCTTGACTCGAACTGTGCACTGCAGGAGTCGGAGATTCTTGGACGATTTGCACGAGCGAAGGCGTTTGTAGCCTAGCACGAGATACCCACTTCTCGTCAGGCGCAGAATGAAAATGTTATATATATGCATCAATTCACTTTACGGAAGAAGGCGCGGACACACCTGTCCCAGCTATTTGTGCATTTGGCCGCGATATGCCACGGACATGCACCCAACAACACACAAAACGAGAAGGAGATCCTAGATGGCATCTATGACTTGGCATGTGTTTAGGGTAAAATTAGCGAGAGTTCATGATATGTTATATTAGTGTGTATAAAGTGGTGGACAAAATGGTATGCTTAAATACGATGACGTAGCCTCAATGCACGAGGAGGAAGAAACAGGAAAGGTCATGAGTGATTTCATAGGCATCGACCATTGGGAACCTGTTCTTGAAAAATAATGATAGTTTCAAGCATGGCCGCAGCCTTTCCCCATGATGGGCGCATGTGTGCGAACTTGAATGGAATTGTGAGCACCCCATCGAAAACCCACCGGATAACGTATTTCTCGCCATTCGATAGCTAGCGCAACAAAAGGCGTAATCTGTCAAATTGCGTTCAAGTTCGCACATCAACGAACCACGCTAAAATTGTGCGAGGTTCTTCAAGTGAGACCCCATTACGGCTTCTAGTATGGTTCTGTAGACAAGCACTCCCTGACTGAATCAAGACACCCTCATAAAAAGGCAACATCAGACCATCGATGGTGCGCACCCAGATAACATAAAATGTATGCTTTACTATGCTGACATGGACGACAACAATCCCTTCCAAACAAACGCTCTTGCATTCCCGCTAGCCTCGCTATATTTTGTCAGAAATAACTCATCATTGGGCTCTGTTTTAGATTGTCAAACCCTGACACAAACAAATGAATGAAGAACACCACTCACTTGAAGGCACTGCCCGGTCCTTCATCCACACCTCGAAAACCGATGCTGCTTCGGGCACGCTCAGGCTACCGGGTACTGCCAGCCTCTCGAGGCCGTGGGCGTATTCTACGAGCTCCGGTTGTCGCTTGACATATGGTCCACAGGGACGGTCATGCTCGAGAGAAAGAGCTTCGCGGAGCTCCAGAGGTAGTGGGAATGTTGTGTTACCCATCGAGAGCGCGCCAAAGACTGCACCACGGGCCTAATTTTTATTACATTCAGATAACGAGGCGCCCAAATTTTCATAGGCACTTACAAATGACTTCTGTCCAGATGCGTACTCGAGCAGAAGGCGTGGCATTGAAAGATGGTACGACTTGATAGCCGAAAAATGTTGGTCACGATAGTGCGACTTGCAATATAATGCCTGGAAGTCATCAACCGCCAGAAGCACCGGGAAACTATGATCCATCCGTTGAGACTATGCTTGTCTTGGACACGGAGAAGACGAAATGGCTCACATTGTCTGCTTCCCAATTTCTTCTAGCACAGCACCAAGCACTGTCGGAGCATGACCCTGATCCTTGAGGCCAATATTAATGAGCTCCACGAGGGGTGTGCCAGGGGGCACCGGAGGGCGACGTTCTATTTCTATCTCGGTTTGGGTGCGTAACTGTTCAAGCCGGAGTGCATTGACCTTGAGAAAGCGCTGGAGAGTTTGATAAGCAAAGATTGGCTGAGAGTATGTTCGAGTTCGCATATCGTAAGTGTGGGCAGTTGTGGAGTTGACAAGATTAGTTGCTATGGGAGATATCAGGGATTAGCCTTGTAATAGAAGTCTGGAAAACACAGACCTCGAGGGATGTAGAGGACTAGCCAATCGCGAGCATTGCAATACTGTAAGGCTTGCAGGAGAAGATAGCTCTTTCCACAGCCCTGGGGTCCAGCTGAAAAGATGTCAATGAAAACCTGTGACAGGTATACTAGAAGCGTACTCAAGACAACCCTAGACTCCTTGCTGTTCTTATCACTTGCCGCGTCTAACTTGTTAATTGCGTCGATTGTCACAGAACGTATAACGCTGCAGGGCTTGGAAAGCAGGCGGAACTAAAGAGCAAACTGATCAATTTACCTGTGCGTTAATGTGACATTCCACGAACCTCAACAAGGATATTTCTTGGTAACCCGAAGATACGGAAGGGATCATTTTCATTATGGGGGAATTTGAGTGCTTGGGACTCGGCAACCCTCGTAAGCATTTCCTGTTAGGAAGCATCAATCCAAACATACATGGAAAAGAAACTTAAAGCATACGGGATGGAATGACTGCAAGGCAAGGGTGTCTGGACGATCACTCTCAAATAACGGATGCGGAAGTTGCGAGACGGGCAACGGTTGGAAGGCCTAACGGACGGAAGTCGGGCTATGATTAATATTCAAAGAACGAGAACAGACCATCATTTTCTTGTCCTTCTTTGCATGTTCCATCTGACCCGAAGAAGTGTTCTT